GGTTAAATCCTGGTTTTGAGGGGGCTGGGCTGTAGTACCCGCTGCTGTGGGGAGCTGCCTGCTCCGGCCACGCTGTACTCACCCCTTGTCCTGCTGGTGGGGACCCCCCGGCTGCTCCCCAGGTGCTGCAGGACCCCTTTCCCAGGGGCTGAGGTGTGCGCGCAGCCAGTCCTCGCAGACGGGGCAGCGGTGGCTGCTGTGGAGAAGCACCGTTGAGGAAATGTGTTGAGTCTCTCCAGGGAAGCTCAAAAATCAAGTTGGGCCCCTACCAGCCTCCCCGGTACAGAGAAACCATCCCAAGAGGGATGGAAACCTGCCTCGGGCTGCCCAGCTCCAGGCACAAACCTCCCTCACTTTGCTAAAACATACGTTTCTACCCCTCGTCTGGACACAATGCAGTAATAGTCAGCACAGTATCAATAAATGATTGGAATCATAGAATGGTTAGAGTTGGAAGGGACCTTAAAGATTTTCAAATTCCATCCCCCCTGCCCTGGGCAGGGACACCTCCCACCAGACCAGGTTGCTCCAAGCCCCATCCAGCCTGGCCTTGAACCCCTCCAGGGATGGGGCAGCCACAGCTTCTCTGGGCAACCTCTTCCAGTGTCTCACCACCCTCACAGGAAAGAATTTCTCCCTAATATCTAATCTAAATCTCCCCTCTTCCAATTTAAAACCGTTCCCCCTTGTCCTGTCACTGCACTCCCTGACACAGAGTCCCTCCCCAGCTCTCCTGTAGCCCCTTCAGATATTGGAAGGGGCTCTAAGGTCTCCCTGGAGCCTTCTCTTCTCCAGGCTGAACATCCCCAGCTCTCTCAGCCTGTCCTCATAGGGGAGGAATAAACAAGGAGGTGCAGAATACCCTTATTTTCTACTCAAATAAATACAGTTCTACTCTAATCTGACATGATTTTTTTACCCAAGCTCACTGCGTCATCTGTGTATTTTTAAGTGGAAGACAGAAGACAGACCTTTCACGGTCCATGGGTTGCTCGGCATCGCTCTGCTCTGGAACAGCTTCTCCTGCATCCTCACCCATCAGCACATCTGCAGTTTTGGGAGGAGAGCTGAATGCAGAGAAAGAGAGAGAGAACGGCCTGAAGCCACCTGAACGGGTGGCTTTCTGAGGATGGCTACTCCCTACAGAACCACTTCATTCTAAATAGCAAATGGTTTCTACTGCTAAAACTGGACTTTAAGGAATCAAAGCAATTCAAACTGCTAAATCTGCTCTATCGATGTAAAAATCACAGAATCATCGTTGTAGAATCACAGAATGGTTTGGGTTGGAAGGGACCTTAAAGATCATTGAGTTCCAACCCCCCTGCCCTGGGCAGGGACACCTCCCACCAGACCAGGTTGCTCCAAGCCTCCTTCAACCTGGCCTTGAACCCCTCCAGGGATGGGGCAGCCACAGCTTCTCTGGGCAACCTGGGCCAGGCTCTCACCACCCTCACACCAAACAAGTTCTTCCCCACATCTCAGCTCCATCTCCCCTCTTTCAGTGTCAAACCCTTCCCCCTCATCCTATGGCTCCCCTCCCTGATCCAGAGTCCCTCCCCAGCTTTCCTGGAGCCCCTTTAGGGACTGGAAGGGGCTCTAAGGTCTCCTCAGAGCCTTCTCTTCTCCAGGCTGAACCCCCCAACTCTCTCAGCCTGTCCTCCCAGCAGAGGGGCTCCAGCCCTCCCAGCATCTCCGTGACCTCCTCTGACCCCGCTCCAACAGGTCCATGTCCTTCTGATGGTGTGGTCTCCACAGAGCAGAGCAGAGGGGCTGAATCTCTCCCCCCAACCCTGCCAGCCAGATGCTTTTTCCCCCACAAGAAGTGCCCCTTTCCCCCTGTTCTGCTCTACGTGGACCCTTGCGAGGGCAGCAGGAGCCCGGTTGGTGGTGGTGGTGGTGGTACCTGGTCCATGCAGGGCTCTGGCCATCCCCGCTGCCGATGCTGGGGACGGAGTAGGAGCGGGGTGCGTGGGGCTGGGCACCCAACCACTCCTTACAGGTGGCACAGCCGTGGGGTGCAGGCTCAGCACGGGGTGCCAGGGCAGCGTGGAGCCCTTCTTCACAGGTGGGACACACGTGGCAGCTGGTGGTGTGGCTGCGGGCGAGAGAGAGAGAGAAGGGGGGAATCCCTCCCTGAAGCACCATCACCTCCGCGGCCAGCGCCGTGCTCAGGGCAGAGACAGAGGTTTAGGTGGTTTAGAGTCAAAAACAGCACAAAGATGTGCAGCGCTGGCCACTGGTGGGGCTGGGCAAGGGGTGTAGCTAGAAATAACGCTGGTGAGATCCCTGGGTACAGTCAGAAGAGCAGCCCAAGGTTTTGGGCAGGTGGACAAGCAAACTTACCAAAAATAGGAATGCCACGGCACGGGCTGCTTCTCCTCACCCCTCACCTTGGGGTGCATCGGGGGAGCCCTTCCCTCCGTCCTTGGCTCTTGTAAAGGCACGTTGAAAGAGCTGACGAGGCAGAAAGGAGATGATTCGTGGAATCAAAAGCAACTTAACAACACGAGGCAGAAAGGAGATGATTCGTGGAATCAAAAGCAACTTAACAACACGGACCGAGAGCATTAACCAGGCAAAAACACGCTGGAGGGAACTGTAGTCACTCAGAGCTTAAAAGGAAATCCCAGGGTCCCCCTGGGGAAGGTGTCAGTGGGGAGGGGCAGCTTCGGCTCACTTACTGGGTTTTATTGTTTTTCCACTTGAGGACCATAGCTAGAGTTCCAAGGAATGCCAAGGCTCACAAACAAAAAAGAAAAATTTACAAAATAAACAACTAGTTTGGTACATAATTGAAGTGAAATGCTGCAGTTTGGTAAAAGAGTGGCACCAAAATTCTCTGCTCTGGGGCTGCCCGTCACCCCCCCCAAGGATCCCTCTCAGCCAGAATAACACAAAGACAGCACAAAAATGGCTAAGTGTGGTCCATGCTGATCTTAAGGGTGGGATCCTCATTTATTTACTGCTTTTATAGACACCATCTGTTTATTTTCTATTTATTTTGAGCATGTTCACCATTTTCAGTACTTGATCTCTTTTGCAACAAGGATGTTCCAATCTCTTCTTTGTCAGTGCCTGCCAAGGCCTTTCAGAGCAACTTTCTCAATTAAAGAGTGACAGAAGGTACAGTTTTTGGTTGGCTTCTTACAGGGGCTTCTTTGGCTTCTTTCATTTCACCCCCAGCTGATGTCATGTTTTATACCAAGAGGCAGACAACCCGTCTGCTGCTCGCAACGCAGGGGAGAACCCCTGAACCCTGACACTCAGTACAAGGGGCAGTAAAAGGAATAAACAAAAACCACCCACTCGGGGTATTTAACAGCAAATAACAACTTTGCGTTAGGAAAGCACATTTTCAATTTTAAACTACTTACCAAAGAAACTAGGGACGAGGATAACCACTAGAGAAGAAAATAAGGAAAGAGATGTTAAAAAAAAAAAAAATGAAGCCAATAATGGTGCTAACTAAACAGGGAAGGTCCTGGATCTGTGCCCACAGTAAAATATTATTCAAACTCAGATAACCACAAAAATGCCGAGAAGATAAAAACACTATAAAAACAACTGCTACACACATCATTATGCTCCTTTTGAGTCCCTCACCCCACCTCTCTCCACTGGCAGAGCTGAGGATCGTAGCTCCAAGCTGCCTCCACCCTCAGCAATCCCCAGCCACAGCCAAGGACAACATCAGTGGTTTCTACTGAGGTGCTCGGCTGCAGGGAGGGAGATTTGAGCACTGAAAATCCCACCCTGTATCACGTCACTAAGGAGTCACACAGCTGGGGGACAAGGGGATTAGAATGAGCCACTGTGAACCCCTTAGAAATGGGAAGAGGGACCCACCAAAAGGAACGAGGAGCACAATGGGAGCAGAAATGCAACAGCAAGTGGAGTGACAGCGCCCAACGTGGGTGCAATCACAGCAATTAAAATGCCCCAGAGGCAGAAAGCCTCTCCTGAGCTCTTACCTAGCAAGTGAGGATTCTCTGCTGTTTTATCCTCTGCGGGTTCTGTTTGGCTTGTTGCTGCTGTAGTGCTAGCTACGGAGAGAAAAAAATAAAGGAAAACCACTCACAATTGATTTTTAGATAATTGCCTATTTATACTTCACGTATAAAAGCCTTCAAAAGGAGTAACCGTAGCACAGGCAGGTGGCTTCTGACCTGTGCATCTGCAGCTGCAACAGTGAGAGCTGGGGAAGAGTCACCCAGGGACCTCCTGGTGACACAGGATTAGAGAGGAGTCTGCTGCCCCACTTGGCTTTATTGCCTGGGTGTTGTTGGGCACTAGATATAAATCCATCCCGAGGTTTAGTCCATCAGCCTTGAAGTTACTGAAACTCTTTGCACAGTGTTTAATAAAATTCTGCCTCTTCCTCGTAAAAGGGAAAATCACAGAATCACAGAATCTTCTAGGTTGGAAGGGACCTTAAAGATCATCTTGTCCAACCGTCAACCTAATTTTGACAAAAATAAACACCCACACAACAAACAAAAAGCATCACCATCACTAAACCCTATCTCCCAGCACTACATCAACCCGTCTTTTGAACACCTCCAGGGATGGGGCCTCAACCACCTCCCTGGGCAGCCCATTCCAATGGCTGAGAACCCTTTTGGTGAAAAAAAATTTCCTAATATCCAGCCTGAACCTCTTGTAAAAGTGTATCTGACCATGATCATGTTGTTCTTCAGTGGACCTGGGCACCCTGCAAAGCAGAGACCTGCTGAGCATCCCTGCCGAGCGCAGGAACCAAACCCTACAGGAATGCCTGGCCGGACCGGGGCCCTTCCCTTTATAAGGGAGAGGAATTAGGACTAATTAACTGCCCTGCAAGAAAAGCTCCTCAATAATAGGGTAATTCTCGTTGATGAGAATGACTCGATGATCCCAAGGGTCTCTTCCAAAGCAAGAAAAGCTCCTCAATAACAGGGTAATTATCCAGCAAAGCTCACCCCTGCACTCGGGAGGAGACCCACTCCAGGTGCCTCTGATGCCATTCTCTGTTGTACAACGGAGAGATTCGTTCCCCACCATTTGGAGCCCGGAGTCACAGGTGTAGGACACGACTGAGTGGTACAGGAACTCCTCCGTGCCCGTACCGTTGTGCTTCCCATCGGGAATCGCTGGAGGCGGAGGACAAGAAACAGCTGGGGGAGAAGAAAGAAAAGGTTCAGGAGGTGGCACCTGAGATGCTCGCAGGCTGGCATTGCACCAGTTGCAGGAGCAGGGGTGAAATGGGAGCACTGGCCACCTTCTGGGCACACAGTTACTTTTAGGTGGCTCCCAGCCTGCTGTCCTGCATGCACAGGGCCAGCTGCAGCCACGGGGACACCAAGGCCACTCATTTACACCAGCCTTTATGTGCAGAAGGCAGCGGCCATGCCAGCAGCGAGTCCCTGCGTTCATCACACCCACTGTCTCCTTCCCAGAGACACTCACCTGCCTGAACTTAGTAAAATCAACACACGATTCGGTATTTCTGAGTTGGAATGTTTGCTATTCCCAGCCCAGTGAGAACCTCACTCACCCTGACAAACTGGGATTTGAGTCCAGGCGACTTCAGCTCCTCTTAGGGAACAGAAGACGTGGCGCGACGCTCCCTTTAACGTGTACCTGCCGGGGGAAAAGCCACACCAACAAATCTGTTCCTTGTCACCAATCAAGAACACATCACCCCAGAGAGGTGCTGAGGACTCCACAGCCAGAGCCCCTTGTCCCAGCTCACACCAGTGCATCCCAGTTGCAGTGGGCAGCTGGCTTCACACTCACCCACGGTTACAAACCACCTCTGCTCTTGTACCCAACAGATACTCATTCGTAACAACTTTGCCGTGTTCTGGATTTGCTGGAATACCACAAGATTTCCCTAAAAAAAAAGAACAAGATTATCCTTAGGATACCCTGTCCTACAAGGATTTCATAGAATCATAGAATGGTTTGGGTTGGAAGGGACCTTAAAGATCATCTAGTTCCAACCCCCCTGCCCTGGGCAGGGACCCCTCCCACCAGACCAGGTTGCTCAAATAGCCATCCAGCCTGGCCTTGAACCCCTCCAGTGATGGGGCATCCACGACCTCCCTGGGCAACCTGTTCCAGTGTCTCACCCCCCTCACTGTAAAGAATTTCTTCCTAGTATCTAACCTAAATCTCCCCTCCACCAGCTTAAAACCATTGCCCCTTGTCCTGTCGCTACTCTTCTTTGTAAAGAGTCCCTCTCCGGCTCTTCTGTAGGCTCCTTTCAGGTACTGAAAGGTCGTCCTAAAAGGACAGGGAAAAAACGCACAGCCCTCCTTTTTGTGACAATGCCAAACCAGGCGTCTGGTGGTAGTTTATGCTCAATGTCATTAAAGAAAAGCAATCCTAAAATACAAATCAGAGGCGGGAACACGGCGCTGCTGGGGGGACGTTGGGGAAGATGAAAGGAGGCGAGACACTCACTCCGACATAGCTTGGGAACTTCTGACCACGTTAAATTGTCACGACAGGTGCTGGTGGGGAGCTGGTCCGTGATGCTCTCGTGGCCCAGGCGACAAGTATACCTCACCGTCACATCCACGGGATAAAAATTCAGCGTTTCATCTTCTGCTGATATTTTAGCGAAGGGCACCCGTAGCGGGCTGGGACAGCTCCCTGGTGACAACGAAGACAACCAGAAGCGTGCAGTTACAAAGCAAAAATAACAATATTTCGCATTCAAATACATATAAACATAAATCCAAGTGATCATAGAATCATAGAATCATTGAGGTTGGAAGAGACCCTTGGGATCATCGAGCCCAACCATCTCCCCTACTCTACAAAGGCCTCCCCTACACCATGTCCCTCAGCACTGCATCTAAACGGCCCTTAAACACAGCCAGGGATGGGGACTCCCCCCCCTCCCTGGGCAGCCTGTTCCAATGCCCGACCACTCTTTCGGTGAAAAATTCCTTCCTAATGTTCAGTCTAAACCCACCCTGTTGGAGCTTGAAGCCGTGATGATGCACAAGCCCCTCCCTCAAAACATCGATACCACAAATATTTTTAAGGAGGCAGTGGGTAATTTGTGCAATTCAAAAATACCCCAAGGTGACTATTTAATGGAAAAATACTTTGAATTTTAAAAAGTGCTCTCTGTCAATTGTTCACCCCCCTGCCCGTTCCCTTGGCGAGGGGTCCAAGGTGGGGAAGAGCAGCCAGTTCTCAGGGTGGAGATGGTGAATCCCTGGTGCCAAACCTTCCCCCCCCTCACCGTTAACTCCTGTAGCCGCAGCCAGCTGTGCCAGCTGTGCCAGCTGTGCCACAACACCCCCGCCCCTCTTTCCTCCGCTTCCCCCAGCTACTGATTTATCTTTATTAACACCCAAACACCAGCACAGGGCTCCAACGGACTATATGCAGAATTAGGAAGAAGGGGCAGTAAGAGACTCCCTGACCAGCGACTCGATGGGATGAAGAAACCCTCAACACAGCGATTGCCAAAGCAGAGCACAAACACCAGCACAGGGCTCCAACGGAAGATGCAGAATTAGGAAGAAGAAGCAGTAAGAGACTCCCTGACCAGCGACTCCATGGGATGAGGAAACCCTCAACACAGCGATTGCCAAAGCAGGGACTGTTTCCCCGAGCAGCACCCAACAAACAACTCCTTTTGGAGAAAGTGAAATAACTTACGGCCGCAGAACTCGGCGAGGCTGGACCACTGGGAGTTGGCCAGGCACTGGATGGTATCTGACATCAAGGGTCGTTTAACGTAGCCCTGGACACATCTGTAGGTGACTTCGGAGCCGAGGCTGAAGCTCTCCAGATGTTTGAGGTCCTCGGGGGGCTCCGCGTGGTTTATTTCGGGCAGCGGCCCGCAGTCACCTGGAGGAACATCAACCCGGCTTTAGAGGGGCTCCAGCTGGAGCTCCCTGAGGGGGGCACAGCCCGGACGCCCCCTCCGAGCCCGCGGGGAAGCGTGGCACACGCACCCACGCCACGCACACGGGCACACGGAGCACACCCCGCACAGACACCCCCCCTCCCCGTCACCCCCATCCCTCCCCGGGGGTCTCACCCCACACCGCGGGCGGCAGCAGCAGCAGTGTGTGCGTGTGTGTGAGTGTGTGTGCACGTGTGTATGTGCGTGTGTGTGAGTGCATATGTGCGTGTGTGCGCGTGTGTGTATGTGTGTATATGTGTGTGCATGTGCGTGTATGTGTGCGTGTGCGTGTGCGTGCACGTGTGTGTGTGTTTGTGTGTGTATATGTGTGTGTGTATGTGTATATGTGTGTGTATGTGTGTATATGTGTATATGTGTATATGTGTGTATATGTGTGTGTGTGTGTGTCCCTTCCCTGGCTGCGGTACCCGCAGCCAAAATCTCCCCCGGCCCCTCCCCCCTCCCTGCGGGCTCAGCTCTGGGGTGGTTTCTGCTGAAAATCCCGTCCCTGGGGCTGGGAGCGGGAATGGGCTGGGAGCGCCGGGGTCTCCTCCTGCCTGCTCCCCAGGCACGCCTGGCATGTGGAGGGGTGCCCCCCCCGCACCCCCTGCCTCACCTCACCTCACAGCACTCTCCGCTCCTTCCAGTAAAGACACTCCTCTCCCCAAAGCTGCCAAGTCCCAAAGGAAAACCAAAAAAACACAACCAACCCCAAACCAAAAAGAGCAGGACGTGGGTCCTGCCAGTGCCAGCTGCGAGCCCTGCAGCACACCCCAAAGCTGGTGGGGGGAGAGAAGGTCCCGTTCAGCCCCCAGCACTGGCTCTGCTCCATGGGAGGAGAAGACCTGCATCTCCATGGGAGGATGAGACCTGCATCTCCATGGGAGGAGAGGACCTGCATCTCCATGGGAGGAGAGGACCTGCATCTCCATGGACCTCCTGCCCTCTCCACCACCATCTGGCCCAGGGAGCCCAGCACAGCTTGGTGGCACCAGCTCCCCAAAAAACACCTTCAGACATCACCTGCCCAGCCTTAGGAAGTGAGAGGAGAGGAGAGGAGAGGAGAGGAGAGGAGAGGAGAAGGGGGCTGTAAATCAGCCCCACCTTGAAGCTGCTAATAATGAATATAATAATAATGAAAATAATGAAGCTGCTTTTGTTAACACCTATGCACAAGACAGCAGGGATACCAGCATTTCCACTGTAACTCTCCCAGTTAGACACAAAACTCTCTGAACGAGACACTGTGCTGCCTCTGGAGGGTCAGGGATGTCCTGGGGCCCTGCTGGGCACAGGAGCCAGTTGCTTGGGCTCCCTGCCCTCCTGGGAAAGCAGAAAGGCTCTGGGATCCCTGGGGCTGTGGGAAGAGCCCCAGGAATGGCTGTGGCTCTATTTGCTGCCCCTTCCCGCTCTGCTGAGCGGCTCTGCCAGTAAGAGACATGTGTCTCCCCACCCCGAGGAAAGGGCAGCCAGCAGAGCCTGCCTGCACCTTCCTGCCTCCCTCCCTCTGCCTCTGCTGTCCAGGAAACTGTCATGTTTTCCCTGAGAAACTCAGATATCTGTTCTACTTCCTCTGCCCCCCGACTATATTTCCCTTTCCAACACAGTTTCAGCTCCAAGCGCATGGAGCAAAAGCATTTGCAATGAGGCCAAGAGGGGTTTTTTTAAGGGAGGACTCAAGCAGCCTGGATAATCATAGAATCATAGAATGGTTTGGGTTGGAAGGGACCTCAAAGATCATCAAGTTCCAACCCCCCTGCCCTGGGCAGGGACACCTCCCACCAGCCCAGGTTGCTCCAAGCCCCCTCCAACCTGCCCTTGAACCCCTCCAGGGATGGGGCAGCCACAGCTTCCCTGGGCAACCTGGGCCAGGCTCTCACCACCCTCAGAGTAAAAAATTTCTTCCTGAAAGTATCCTACAGTTATAATGTATAACTTTAAAACGCTTACTTGTGAACATGTTGGTGAACCACATGGAGAGGTCTCAGCCATGTACTTTTACAGGTCACCTGTGGTCTGAGCTGGGATGGTGGCTGCGTAATACAAAAGGAAGTTGCTAACAGGAAAAAAAAAATAATTAAAAAAAGTGCTTTAAATGCTGGGGAATTCTCTGGCACTGGCTCAGAGCAGTGACCTCAGTGTGGGATGGCGAGAGGTGGAGAGGTATTTGGCAGATTTTCTGTAACGCTGAGCCTCCTCGGGGAGCGGCTCCCTTCCCGGACATCAGAACCGAGCGCTGCAGCTCCGACCCGGTGAAATTCCCTCCTTATCAGGGTTCAGATAACCCCTCGAGCCAGGCTGCTCTCCTCCTGAGGCCACGCAGGGGACATCTGGACCTGCTGAGACCACCAGGCTCAGAGCAGCCCGTCCCTCTGCCTCTGCCACCCCCATTCGCTGTCCCATTTTGCCCGTTTTTGCCCCCGTAACAGACTGAGCACCAAACCCTCCTGGCAGAGCTGCCCCAGCAGCTGAGCCCGGCGATAGGAACCCTCCCGGGCAGGAGCTGCCCCAGCAGCTGAGCCCGGCGATAGGGGGTCTGTGCCTGCTCAGCCAGACCCACTGGTTTGCTTTATCTCACTCCAACATCCCTTCTGTGTGCTGCAGAAATCGGACCGAGCAGATGGCGAGGGCAGGAGGGAGGGCACGTAGAGAGGGGAGCCCGACCCGGGCTACGCTGTGCCCCCTGAGCAGGGGGTCTGTGCCTGCTCAGCCAGACCCACTGGTTTGCTTTATCTCACTCCAACATCCCTTCTGTGTGCTGCAGAAATCGGACCGAGCAGATGGCGAGGGCAGGAGGGAGGGCACGTAGAGAGGGGAGCCCGACCCGGGCTACGCTGTGCCCCCTGAGCTGCCAGGCTGGGACTGGAATAACACGAGGTTTCCAGCAAAAAACAGGGGTTTTCTCTCCACAGAAAACTGCCCTCAGCTCCCTGCCCGCTCCACCACCATCCCAGCAGCCTGGGATGTCACCCACAGCCCCCAAAGCCTTTGGGGGCAGCCGCAGCAGAGGGGCTGCAGAGCCCCACACCAGGATGGCTAAATAAAATTAAGGCAGATATGGGTGGCTCCAGCTTTCTTTTTCAGACCACTTACTAGAAACAGGCACATTCCCACACATTACTGCATGGATTGTCTTTCCTTCTTTCTTTTCCTTTTTTTTTTCTTTTTTTTTTTTTTTTTTTTTTTTCGTAGAACCACGTTAAACTCGCAGAGGAGGCATTTAGGAAAGAAGTAGAGTGCTGGTAACTGATTGAACAACAAATCTCAACATCGTCAGGATATCCCTGAAAGCTGATACCTTCCCTAAGAGAGCACAAAATATGAAAAGGGAACAGGAGGCAGACGAATTCACAGGCTACCCTTTATAAACAATTACCATTTATTACTAAATGTCAATAAAATCCCAGGAAGGGAGCTTTAGGGTTCTGTAGGGGACAAAGATGGTAAGAAACTGACATCAGCCTGACATTTCCAGTTTCTCTGTTGCAGTCTGGTGACACTGCAGAGGGTATTGGGCTGTCACTTCTCGGTGTCTCTGCGCTGCCGATGTGCTCACAGCCTGCAGCCCCACAGAGCTGCCCTCCTTCCTCTGGAAAGCAGAAGTAGCTCCTTTACAGCACAAGATTAGAAGGTACAGAGTGTCTTATCTTTCACGTAGCCTGAACAGAAACATAAACCGTAAAGAACTTCTGTCTGATACCAGAAAAAAAAAAAAAAGCTCTTGCTAAAGAAAGCGCTGAAAGTACTGAAGGTCAAAAGATCAACAATCAATTTCGCATGTAAAGTGCTATGACTTCCTAAAAGAAATGAGCTCACAACTTTGCAAGACAGGGAAGTCAGTATTTTGCTTTCAGCACAACCCTGCTGGCAGCTCGTGTGGGTGTATCTATCTGCAACCGGACCGTGCACAGCCAGAAATTCACAGTAAATGAAGGGAGCAGCTCAGCCCAGCAGAGATTTGGGTCTTTTACAGCCTTTCCTGCGAGGCTGTATTTACAGGGCTTGTTATGGCAGCAGGTCGGCATTGCTAGGACACACAGGAACGTGTGGTTGTGGAAACACCGAGTCAAACGGGTTGTGACACAGCTGAGCTGTGTCAGAAATTCTGCAGAAGGGCTGGGGGGGTGGTTTTTCTGAGAAACCACAGCTCCCCACCCCCCACCTGAAAAAGGCTGGTCAGGCAGCTTTGTCTCATTCCTGTGACAGCCCTGGGCTGTGCGGGTTCACACACAAACCCCATCACAACAGGGGGGGGACAGATTTTCTGGTGTGGACCCAAGAGACGTGCCTCAGGGCTGGGCAAGCTGGAGAAACACTTTTCATCCAGTCTCTACTTGGGTAGCGAGACCCTCGAGTGGGTATTTTGTCTTTATTATGTACAATTACACACTTGTGTGTCCCACCCAGACGCTGTTTCCAACACAACTGACACTCACCCTCCTTATGAGTAGAAGAATCCTTTGCAGCGGATGGGGAACCTGTTGTAGCAGCATTTCTGCCACGTCCGGCTCCTCCTGGCAGCCCACGACCTCGCTGGTGTGGAACAAGGTCAGCGTTAGCGCAGACAGCAAGGACAGAAGCCCTTTTAAGGCTACATGGTGTGAAGTTCTCTCTTGCTTTTATATGTGGCAAAAACCCCAAGTTACAATCAGCACTAACATGAGGGCAAGGAAGCCACTGATAAATGAAAATACACGTCATACAAAACGAAGCTTTTTTAAGAGGAGGGGGTCAGTGCAGTCAAACTTTGAACCAAACACCCAATCAGCAAAAAATATAAATTACGCAGAGAAAAGTTAGAGAAGAAAAGACCATGACCAAAAAAAAATAATAAATAAATTACTCACTTCCACAAAATGATGCAACTTTAGATCGTTTTATGTTTTCAAAGCAGCCGGCTTGGGGGAGGATGCCGGAGATCCCCATGTACTTTGGAGAACACAGGGATCCTTGACTGGTCCCAGGAGAATAGTAGTTTTGGGTTTTGTACAAAGGTACAACAAATCTGAAAGCTGAGGTAGCACAGCTCCGTGACACTGAAGAGAAACCTGAAAAAAAAGGAAAGCTCCACATTTACAGGACTGGGAGTAACCAGGGAGTCCCATTGATGAGTTCCCCTGAACTCCAAATGAGCCCCCAGGACTGACCTGGTGTCCTGGAGAAAGAAGAAGAAGGGCCTGAAAAAAAAGGAAAGCTCCACATTTACAGGACTGGGAGTAACCAGGGAGTCCCATTGATGAGTTCTCCTGGAGTGAAAAAAAGGAAAGCTCCAGGTTTACAGGACTGGGAGTAACCAGGGAGTCCCATTGATGAGTTCTCCTGGACTCCAAATGAGCCCCCAGGACTGACCTGGTGTCCTGGAGAAAGAAGAAGAAGGGGAGAAGGAGACGGTATTTTGGAGTGCCTTTTTATAGAGTTTGAGCAAGGGGAGAAGGAGACGGCATTTTGGAGTGCCTTTTTATAGAGTTTGAGCTTCATTTCCCACGTGGAAGCCTTCTTAGAGGGTTGGATGGCATTTCCACGGGCACCTGAAAAGAAAGGAAATCCTGGTGTGAAATTAACCAAATGGCTTTTTCACAGAAATGTGATAAAGGAGAAAATTAAGTTGGGGAACATGAGATTTAACATACAATCATTTCAACTCACTCTGGGGAGGAGGACTCCTTTCTTTTTCCTTTGATCCGAGTTTGACAGCTGTTCTTTTCTCTAGGGTACAAAGAGCACGTGTTGCTCGGAGCACTACCCCTTTCTTGCACAGACCCTTCATTCCTCCCTCACTTTGGCAGCACTGCATTTTTTTTTTTTTTCTCTTAAAAATTGCAATATGACATATGCCTGACGCGTCCTGTACTAGGCAACCACAGTATGTTGAGCTGGTGCATACTAAATTTATCATCATAAATACTAAACTCAACTTAATACTCAAATAATACTAAACTCCAGTGAAAGCACCTTTGCATTCCGGCGCGGCTCCGCTCCAGACTCCCTTTGTTTTGTCCCTGCTGGTACAACGGATGGTGGCATTTCCAAGGAGCTGGAAGCCGGGGTCGCAGGTATAAGTCACCGTTGAGTTATACGTAAATTTTTCCACACCTTCTCCATCATGCTTTCCCTTGCTGATTTGAGGTGGTGACGAGCAGGTAATTACTGCAGGAAAGAAGGTCAATGTGAGCACTGCTAAAAGCTTCAGTAATAATGAAAATGCAAAATGTTTCTTGAGTCCACCAAAGATTCTTGAAGAGAATAGAGTGTTTGGACACCTGGAGATGGGCAGTTAGCCCTGACTCCTGTCTCCATCATCCCCTTGTTGTTTCTGAAGAGTTCCTGTTGTTCTGGCTTTCTCACTCTCACTTCAAGGGTCACAAAAATAAACAGGCAACTTGCCATGTCCCATCTCGAAATTCCTGGAAATCTCATCCCATCCCCTTTCACTGCTACCTTAGGTCATGAGAAAATATGATGATCTTGTGGGAACAAAACTGCTGAAATACAGCGTCAGCAGCAAAATGGGCATTTCTCAGCTGCAGCGTTGGTGATAGAACTGCCACAGAATATCAACAAAAACAAGGCACAGAGACAGGTTTAGATTAGACATTAGGGTGCAGGACCTACTGGAGTGAAGTCAAAAGTAAAGCTGAATTAATCTTACATTCACAAGTTGGAAGTTTAGTCCATTCAACGTTGTTTCCTTTAAGCTGACAGTAGATGAATTTACTCCCATTTAATTTGTACCTAAATGAAAACACATGAAAAAAAGAAAAATGTGCGTAACTATCCAGAAACTGAGAACAACTTGTTTTCCCCAGTACCAGCACAATGAGGGGTGTAGGAAAGGCAGTTTTAAAGCAAGCAGACGTGCAGGTAGGGGCTGGTTAACAGGAGAGCTCCTCCTCCTTGCTCTCTGCCAGGATCCTTGTTAATCTATTTTTAGGAGATTCTGTGCTTTGGCTCATTGCAGGATGGGAGAAGCCATCGCTGGCGGCTGAGAGCACACGCAGTGAGTGCCAGACAGTGCTGAGCCTGGATGTGGAGTCCCACGTGGATGCAGTGGGTTTGGATTTGCTGCATCAGCATATTTCTCCCTGCTTTCTGGTGGAGACCAGGGCTGGGACTCAGGCAGTGGCCCCCAGCACCTTTCCCTGGGTGGGAAGGAGGCAAGGAGCTCCCTCGGAGCCCACCCGGCATCTCTAAAGGATTCTGCCATCAGCTGGACCTGCTGGGACCCTCAGTGCTGGTGGCAGAGAGCCCAGCCTCCCTTGGTGCCACCTCCTCCTTAGCACGTGGCTTTTGGGTTGTAAGGGTGTTGCTGTTTTGCTAAGGCTTTGCCAGGAAAACAAACAGCAGCAGATGGCTGGTGTGTGCCTGGTTGGCTGCTCTCTGCAAATCATAGAATCGTCTGGGTTGGAAGGGACCTTAAAGATCATCTAGTCCAACCATCAAACTAACTCTGACAAAAACATAAATAAGAAATAAGCAATAAAAAAATCACTAAACCATATTCCTGAGGACCATGTCAACCCATCTTTTGAACACCTCCAGGGATGGTGCCTCCACCACTTCCCTGGGCAGCCCATTCCAATGATGGAGAACCCTTTCCATGAAGAAGTTTTTTCTAATATCCAATTCTAAACCTTCCCTGGTGCAACTTGAGGCCATTTCCCCTTGTCCTATCTCCTGTGACTTGGGAGACGAGACCAATCCCCATTTCTCTACACCCCCCCTTCAGGTAGTTATAGAGCATGAGAAGGTCTCCTTTCAGCCTCCTCTTCTCCAGACTGAACAACCCCAGCTCCCTCAGCCTCTCCTCATAAAACTGAGCCTACTCAAATGTATGCAGTATGTACATCAGAGACAGTGAGGGGCAACAGGGATCTACATTCCATTAAAATGCTGTTTAGATTGGCCTGCTGGGAGCTGTCTTGTTCTTGACAGCACCAACAGAACATCTTGTTCTGACAGAACCAACACCTTCCCCAATTCTTCAATTACACCCTCCTGTTCGAAAAAATTCATCACGTGGGCATGATTGATAGTATCTGATCTTGATTAGAGGGATAACGTTATCCCTCCACCCTGATGTGTATTTCCAAAGATCAGCTGCACCCCAGAAGGGTGGGACACGCTGTCATTTCCTCGAGGTCCATCCTAAGGGAATATCTGGAGGAAAAACCCCTCTGTTAGATTCGAAGCAGCTGCAAAGGCTGGCAGAACAAGGCAGATGATGCCAGCCAGCCCCTGCTAGGGAGGGAGGGGTACCAGCTGGAGACTTAAGAGTTTAATTTTGCAAGTCAGTCTGCTGCATATGTGCCCTGATTGAAAGCAGACAGAAAGCCTGAGTCAGCCCACAGACCCATGGAAAGTGTGCTTCATCACAGTTTTCTAGCAAAGCACCATAGATTTTTAAAATTCAAACATAACCCCTTTTTATTTAATATACCTCAAATACGTTAAGTTGAAATTATTTTAAGTAAACCTGTGTTTAAGTCCATGGTTATAAACTGATGGTGCAGTCAGCCATGGGATAGACACCCTGGGGCAGTTAAATTTTCTCTGGATGACTCTTGAAGGAAAAGGCAGCCATAAATTCAGACCCTTCCCTCCAGCTGTGCCTTATCCTTCCCAGCCCAAAGCTGTAATTCAAGTGGAAAAGCAGCCTCACACTCTGCACTTGGAGCAACACCATAGGATTGGTGTACACTGAATTACAGAATGATATGGGGTTGGAAGGAACCTCTGGAGATCATCTAGTCCAACCCCTTGCCAGAGCAGGTCCACCCAGAGCAGGTCCCACAGGAACGTGTCCAGGTGGGTTTGAATGTCTCCAGAGAAAGAGACTCCACCACCTCCCTGAGCCGCCTCTGCCAGGGCTCTGCCACCCTCACAGGAAAGAAGTTCCTCCTCATGTTTAGGTGGAACTTCTAATGTTCAAGTTTGTGCCTGTTACTTCTTGTCCTGTTCCTGGGCACCACTGAAAAAAGCCTGGCCCCATCCTCCTGACACCCACCCTTTGAGTATTTATAGGTGTTGATCAGATCCCTCCTCAGTCTTCTCCTCTCCAGACTAAAAAGCCCCAAGTCCCTCAGCCTTTCCTTGTGAAATTCCAGCCCAGTTTATTGCACTGGATGGAGTTTCTGTTCCAGCACTGGTGGTGTGCTGTGCACTGGAGCTCGGGCATGGCCCCACCACTCACCCATCTTCGCAGGACACGATGACTCTTGCTCCAAACTGGAGGTCGGTGAGAACCAGCATCCTGCCCCCGGGCAGCGCTCCCGGCTCCCCGCAGGACCGTCCTGACAGAGAGAGTGATGCTGGCGTTAGCAGGGACACACGGCCATGGAGGAATAAAAAAAGGCTAAATCAGGGACAGGCTTAGAGGGTTATACCCAAAGGTACCCAAGTGTTTTGCTTCCCACATGTCCCAGCTGGACTGGAGGCAGCCAGAACCAGCCATGGGTGATGGTGTGGGTCACCATCAGGGCTCTGCTCACAGCCAGGGGCATCTAACAGGAGGGCAGGGAGGGAGTTTGTGCAGAGATGTTTCCATCTCAATAGACTGAGAGTTACTGAGCTATGGCAAATGCATTGCTGCCACCTCATCAGTCTTAATATTACATGGATTTCCCCAAGAATTTCACTGAATTTTTAGAGTTGGAAGGGACCATGCCCCAAGAATTTCACTGAATTTCACTGAATTTTTAGAGTTGGAAGGGACCATAGAGATCATCTAGTCCAACTCCCCTGCTAAAGCAATAAGCTTTGTTGTCATTTTGAAGTTCAAGGCTAGGATTGCGAATTGGCATTTGCCCTGTGCGTGGGTCGTGCCCCAATGTGAACATATTTACTAACCTGAAAAACAAACCACATCTGTTCATCCCAGCAGGAAAAAAAACCAACAAACCAACCACTAGTGATACCCGTGCTGTTCAGTCCTACACATTAATGTCAAGGAATATCCAATCTAATTTTGCATTAAGCATGTGTCTGTTGGGACACTAAAGCCCCTGACCTGCTCCCAACTCCACCACTGCTCTTCCCAGGAGATACTCACTCCGGCAGAGCTCCTCAACCTCCGACCACACCAGGTTCTCAAGGCACATGCTGGTGAGGGAACTTTCCGAGGTGTTCTCGTAGCCGGGGCGGCAGACGTAGCTCACGTTGGTCCCAACAGGAAAGAAATTAATCCTCTCGTCCTCCTTGGTCAGGGCAGCAAAGCGCAGCCTGGTCGGGGGGCCACAGCTCCCTGGCAGTCAAGGAAAGCGCCTGAAAGAGCCGCCCGCTGGAGGCACGCAAAAATAAACCTTGGGATTACAGAAATGCTCTCGTACAGCGCTTTTGGAAAGCTCCTCGCCTTCATCACAGGTGGCTCCTGTGTTCCTACCAGGCTGCTCTCCTGCTGAATGCATCTCTTGCAAAAAGGAGATGAAGATGCATTAACTGCACAGGCAAAGCTGTCAGAGGGAAAGGAGAGGTCTCATGCGTGCACAGCCAGGGCTTGGGAGATGCACGAGCGTCCTGGGCTCCAGCCACCATCCCACCAACCCCCCGACAACAGGCCCATTAGCAGCTCTGACCGAGCATCCTGGGCTCCAGCCACCGTCCCACTGACCCCCCGATGACAGGCACCCATCAGAAGTTATGACCAAGGGCAGCCAAGGGAAGGGGGCTTGGACCTGGGCAGGAGAGGAGGTGCCATGGCAGAGCAGCCGCCGTAAGGGACAGAAGTTTTAAGATGAGAGAGAGAGAGGAAGGAGACTTGTTTCAGAGAAGGGAGGTATTTACAGCCGCAGGGCTCGGGCAGCTTTGACCAGCGTGGGCCGGGCAGGCACTCCACCGTGTCCGACCTCTCTGGGATTTTGACAGCACCCTGGATGCACGTGTACGTCACCCGGGATCCAACGGGGAAGCTGGTGGCGTGCTCATCGCTGGACGGTCTGGAGTGGTTCATGCGGGGTGGGGGCCCACAGTCACCTGAGGTAGGAGAAGACCTCCTCAGGTGAGGACCCCATTCCCTGTCCCCTTCTCCAGCCCCACTGAGCATCCAGACTCTGGGCAAAAGCACCAGGCAGGGCTGCATCCGTGAAAGCATCCCTGAGAGCATCAGGAAAGCATCCTCAGGAGCATCAGGCAATGGGTCCCCAGGCTTGAGGGTGGTGGCATCACCCTCCCCAGCTGCTGAGCAGCAAGGTGAGACCTGGGCAGGTCTCTCTGGTTCTCCCCATGCATCCCACATCCCTGTACTCACCGTGAGCCACAGGCATGCCTAGGAGCCCCAGCAAGGCCAGGAGCAGTATGTGGTGTCCAGACCCCTGTGCCACAGCAGGTGCCCTGCAGGTCAGGGTGCGTCCTGGTTCTCCAGGCTTCATTGCAGCTACTTCTGTGCTCTGCTGTCGAGCACCAAGGGGCTGTTTATAAAGCTGGGAGGAGATGCAGCAAGGCAGACTCGGCCAAACCTCTGGAGCAGTGGAAACCTTTCCAGATCACCCAGGGAGATAAACCCTCCAGCAGAGACACGGGGAGCAGCCAGGGGTGGGGACAACTGTCATCCTCAGCCTCAGGAAGAGCCTCCAGGTCCTCCTGCCCCACCAAGGGATGGGGGAATAGCTCAACCCTTTTGTTTGACCTGAGACTGGCAGTGAGCACGGGCTTTACCAAACCCAAATGCTACCAGAGCAGAAGAGCCCCCACACGCAGCCCCAGCCTGTATCCAGGGTAGGAAAATGCCTACTTAGTCATTTGCTGGCAGGTAACGCAGCGCTGAGTTTCCATAAGCAGAGTTAGCGAAGCAAAAAATATAAGCATTTTCCTTTCTGTTTGTTATTTTGTTTTTTTTCTTGATTGCCTGACTCATTTGTCATTAGGAATGGGTGTGAGTGAGCAGCTGTGCACTGACTAACACTCCGAAATATCCCGCCTGACATCAGGCACAGCTACTCAACCACGTTCTTAGATACATGCGGGACGTAACACCCAGTTCTTATTCACACTTACGGGTATCGAGACTCACACAGGGAGATAAGACACTTTGTGTTTGCAGTCCCCGGGGAGCGAGGTGTCACACCAGGAGGTGTGCAGTCCCGCTCTCCTGGTGGCACAGGGAGAACCAGAGTGGGTCTGAGAGTGTCTCCTTGCAGATCTCCTCACCGTGACGTGGTGAAGCACAGGACGCAGCACCAAAGCATCCTTCTGCCTAAAGATGGGAGACCCCACCTCTTCTTCCCTGGGTTTTGTGCTTTGGGCTCTAGTAAGAGTTAAAGCAACTCTATTACTCACAGAAGCTTGCATCTGGCGATGATACACCCCCGCAAATTGCTCGTGCAGGAGAAGATGCTCCCCCTGCTCCCACCCAGCCCGGGCAGCACCACGCTGCTGTGCTGGCTGCAGCCCCCCAGTGCCCCGAGGAGCTGCCAAGGCTCAGCTTTTTATCAGAACAACCTTTGGACCACGCTGGAAATGTGCCTGATGTACAGCCAGTGTGACAGACTACGAGACACCCGTGGTTGCACCTGCATCTTTATTGCAATCCTGGAAGGAAGGAGTAATTGCTGCATCACAGAGCTCTGATCATCGCCTACGGAGTAATAAGAACACTCTGATTCTCTACACTTACACTTACAACATCTATTCTTGGCATTTGCCTGCCTGAAATAGGGACATGGAAGGTGACACCACCACAGATATCTGTCGAGGAGCAGCGCTGGGCCAGAAACCTGCTGCCTGCTTTAAATCCAGGGACAAGGGAAGAGAAACTTTTACAAACGCACTTCTTATACATAACTGCCCTCAGCCAGATCAACAGAAATCACCAGCAAGATTAACAGGGAATCAGGTAGTTAAATGCTCACTTCACTACTATTTCTGACCAGAAGCAGCACTGAATGCTGTGAGGGGCTGAGATGGGTACGGGCAGGGGGTGAGGCATTGCACAAACCACCGGCTGGAAGATCCCAGCAAAAGCCCCTGCAGAGAACCAGACACCCATCTCTGTGAGAAGGTTGCTGCCCTGGACTTCAGCCCCCCTGCTCTCTCAGCACAGTTTATTCAGGGACTCACAGTAGGTCAATTTAATTTCTTACTATGCTTCCTAAAATAATTTGCGGAGCAACACACCTGTTAAATACCGAATTGAGCTTGTCAGATTTAAGGAAAAAAGCAAAAATCTCTCCATGCTCTGGCATCTAGCATGGAAAAAGCAGTCTCCCATACACTGGTTATGATGTCTCTGGCTATAGGCATGCAAGTATGAACTGTAAAGTCACCAAGAGCCTTCTTATACCTCCTGTGACTACACAAATTTTGTGTTCGCCAAAGGAAAGGCGCTCATTACAGTGCATTACAGAACTCACTTGTTCAAGTTTTCTAGTTCCAGCTGTAGTTTTTTAATCTCCAGAAACAGTTTTTCTATTTCCAGTAGGGTTTTCACTTCTGCTATAGGCACATCACATTCAAAGGCCCTTCTAATGTAACGAACCTCTTCACATACATCCACATCACTTTGCTTCTGTTAAAAAAATAAAACAAAGCAAACAACCCCAGAAGAAAAGCCTGTGAGAGTGCACTGCAGCAGATGAAGAGCCACCCACTCCTCAGCTCTGAGCCTGAACATCTGTCCCATTTGCCATGCACTGCCCCAACGCAGTCTGCATCCCCCATTGGTACCATAAAACTAAAGATTTTAAGTTCAAACAGTTATTTTTCCTATTAGAAGCCAGGCAGCACCCACCCAGGATCTCAGCCGGACTGTGGTACTTACACACGTGGGCAGTGGTGTCCACTTGCCATCAGGCAAGCACGTGGCTGTCCAGGAATCCTCTGAAGCCAGGTCTCCATCCTCTGAAAAGCGGTATCCATGAAGGCATTCAAATTCAACAGTTGTGTTTGCTTCGTACCACGTTTTAACATCCGAAGTGTTTTTCAGCCGTCCATTGGCCACGTGGGGTTGTGGACACAGAACTGAAAGGGAAACCCACAGCAGAAGGCAGCTCAGTGGGAGGGTTGTCATTATGTAGGTAGAAAAAAAACCTTGAGAAATCTGTGAAGACCGAGCCAGTGCAGGTGAACTTAAATCCGTGGAGCTGTGAAAGTAAATATTAAAGCACAGTTATTTCCCCAGGCCTTTTGAGAGGATAAAACAAAGCAAACAAATCCCAGAAAAAAAAGCATGTGAGAGTGCACTGCAGCAGATGGAGAGCCACCCACTCCTCAGCTCTGAGCCTGAACGTCTGTCCCATTTGCCATGCACTGCCCCAACGCAGTCTGCATCCCCCGTTGGTACCATAAAACTAAAGTTTTTAAGTTCAAACTGTTATTTTTCCTATTAGAAGCCAGGCAGCATCCACCCAGGATCTCAGCTGGACTGTGGTACTTACACACGTGGGCAGTGGTGTCCACTTGCCATCAGGCAAGCACGTGGCTGTCCAGGAATCCTCTGAAGCCAGGTCTCCATCCTCTGAAAAGCGGTATCCGTGAAGGCATTCAAATTCAACAGTTGTGTTTGCTTCGTACCACGTTTTAACATCCGAAGTGTTTTTCAGCTGTCCATTGGCCACGTGGGGTTGTGGACACAGAACTGAAAGGGAAACCCACAGCAGAAGGCAGCTCAGTGGGAGGGTTGTCATTATGTAGGTAGAAAAAAAACCTTGAGAAATCTGTGAAGACCGAGCCAGTGCAGGTGAACTTAAATCCGTGGAGCTGTGAAAGTAAATATTAAAGCACAGTTATTTCCCCAGGCCTTTTGAGAGGGGAAGGAGAAGGTCGGAACAGCCCCAGAGAGGTGTTACACGTTTGCTGTCTTCTGGCAGTGTCTCACCCCAGGCACCCCCATGCAGGAGCCTGCACATGGAGGTTGGGCAGTAAGAATGTGAACTGAAGAGAAGGTCAATAATGAAATGGTTTTAAATTGGAAGAAAAAAGATTCAGATTAGATCTCAGGAAGAAATTTTTTACTCTGAGGGTGGTGAGACACTGGCCCAGGTTGCCCAGGGAAGTTGTGGCTGCCCCATCCCTGGAGGGGTTCAAGGCCAGGCTGGATGGGGCTTTGAGCAACCTGCTCTAGTGGGAGGTGTCCCTGCCCAGGGCAGGGGGGTTGGAACTGGATGATCTTTGAGGTCCCTTCCAACCCAAACCATTCTATGATTCTATGATGGTGTCTCCTGCCCCATCCCAGAGCCTCTGTTATACGGGACTGTCAAGAAAAACCCAACTATTTCTTGGTAAACATCAGCTGTTTCTTCGTCTCCTGCCCTGTCTCAGAGCCTCTGTTATATGGGACTGTCAAGAAAAACCCAGCTATTTCTTGGTAAACATCAGCTGTTTCTTCTGCAGAGAGGGGAAGGCAGTAGGGGAGCCCCGAGGGCAGATGCAGCATCGCAATTGTGGGACCCCGGGTCTGGTACCCACCTGGCTGGCAGGAGGGCAGGGGAGGGTGCCAGGCACCATCCTCCAGGCACCGGCTCTCGGCGTCACCGTGGAGCTCAAAGCCTTCCTCGCAGGAGAACCGCACGTCCGCCCCGTAGGGAAACGTCACCCTTGGTGGGGTCATCCTGGCCCTCTCCACCACGGGCTTGGGGCACCGGACCACTGCACGAAGAGAGAGCAGGGGGGGGTTTGGCTGCGGCCCTTCCCCAAGGAAAACAGGGAACGGGGTCAGGCAGGGCAGAGCCACTCTCCCTGATGTTCTCTGCATCACTTTTACACTCAAACACAAGACTTGATCCTCAGCTGCCTGCAGCAGCCCCCAAGGAGACCCCACCAGGAGGCCCTGGTGTTCCTGAGCAGCTCATGGTGCTGAGACCTTCGCACAGGAGCCAGAGGAGATGCCTGGGCATTAGGTGGCTCTGGGTTTGGAGCTCCTGGACCATGACAGGAGATTAGCCCCAGCATCATTCCCAGCTCCTGACTGATCCCATCCAGGAGAAAGAACTCACCCCTGCACTCCGGGGCAGGTCCACTCCACACCAGGTTCACCCCATCGTTGGAGGTGCAGTAGATGGACTCGTCCCCAATGAGGGACAGACCCTCTGCACAGCTGTACTTCACCTCTAAGCCGTAGGGGAACTGCTCCGTTCTCAAGGCAGAGTGCTGCCCATAGTCGATTTTTGGAGGGGGACCACAAACTACGAGAGAATTGAGAAAGGAAAAATTAAGATTTTCTTCATTCGTGCAGGGAGACAGGGAAGTGCAGGGCAGTAACAGGAGAAGCCCGTTCCCGATGTTTATACTTAGGGCTGCTCTCCTCAAAGTCCTCCTCGCTTTTTACCAGTTTTGGCCCCAGCTCTGCCAATTGTTCCCAGACAGACCCAGCCAACCATCCCAGCATGGCCCCAGGACCTCAGCGTGAGCCTCCATCCCCTCATTTCAGCCAGCCTTCCCTTATCCCCTCCTCTTTCCCACGAGAGATGACCCTGCTCATAAACAGGATCATAAACCCCTTAAACAGGGAATTGTATCATAAACCCCTTAAAAAGTCCTCAGAGGAACTGCTCCAAGTCCCATTACTCAATACTTTGAATCGATTACAGTTTTGATAGAAGATGAAAACCTTAAAGCCACGTAATGCTGGGACTTGGACCCCTTCTCCTAACACCACCTTCTCCGAGAAGTGATGCTGAGGTCACACGATTTTCTCCCTGGTCCCACCTGCTGCAGAGATGTGATTCCTGGTACCCACCACGCTCCCTCCCTCCCTCCACGCTCCCTCCCTCCCTCCACGCTCCCCCCATCCACGCTCACCCTTGTCACAGAAGGGCACGGGGGGTCTCCACGTCCCGTCTGCCCAGCACTGGATCCTCCGGCTGCCCCTCAGCACGTACCCGGGGTCACACTGGAATTCCACCTGGTGCCCGAAGTTGTATTCGGCTTTCCTGGGGGTGATCTCTCCCCCGTGGGAGATGACCGGGCTGGGACACTGCGTCTCTGAGGAACACCCGTGTCAGAATGGGCTTCCATGGTTTGGCTCAGGGGGGAAAAGCAGGAAAACACGGGGGTGTTTTCTGACCCAGAGAGCCTGCCAGGCGGCCTGTTAAAGCCAATGAACTTCTCTAACCAGACCCAGCACGCTCAGGGATGGCAATTATGTGATAGCAACAATTTCTCTTGGAATGAAGAATGATCTGAGCCCTGTGATTAGCTATAAATCGTGCTGAAGGGATGGTGCTATACAAACTGCATCCCTGCATCGTTGTTTGAGCAGCTAAATAATCAGCCTGAGTTGCAGCTATTTCTTTTCAGCCACACTACCCTTTGAAAAGCAATTTTGAAAAGCAATTTTGAAAAGCAAAATTATTATTAGTGAGAGCCAAAGCACAGCTCAGCAAAGTCCTTGTGGGCACAGCCCCACACAGAACTGATGTTATTTCCACATCATTAAAGCGATGCTTTGCTGGAAAAGCGAAGGGCATGGTGTACTTACTCTGGCAAAGCTTTGGGATCACGGACCATGTGAAGTTTTTAAGGCAAGTGGTTACTGGGGAGACGTCGGGGAGCAGAGTGTACCCGGGTCGGCAGGAGTAGGTCACATTTGTCCCGACTAGAAAGATGCGCTGAGGGTTTCGGTCGGCGTTATCGATGACAGGAGGGTAGGGACACTGACCTGGTGCCAGAGCAGGGGACAACACGGACCCTCAGAGCTGGGGACAAAGCTGAGCTGTGCCCTCAGGGAGCCCAGCCTGCCCCTCAGCACAAGGGCAGGAAGCCCAGAGAGAAGCAAGGGAGAGCAGGGACCCTCAGCATCGCTGTGAGGTACGGGGGGTGAACTGAAAGGGGAAAAGAATTCACCAAAGGATGTGGTGAATCTAAGGAGTCTTTATTCTTGTGCACTTCTGCATCTCACTGGGTGCACCTGCAGTGGGGGAGGACAGCCCTACCACGATGCCCAGGGGCAGTGGCAGAGGAGGGAAATCGTGGAATCATTTTGATTGGAAGAGACCTATAAGATCATCAAGTCCAACCATTAACCCAGCACTGGCAGGTCACCCCTAACCCCTGTCCCTCAGCATCACATCTACACGTGTTTTCAATACCTCCAGGGATGGCGACTCAACCCCTTCTCCCTCAGCATCTCATCTACATGTGTTTTCAAGACCTCTAGGGATGGCGACTCAACCCCTTCCCTGGGCAGCCTGTTCTAATGCTTGGTATTTGAAGAATACCAAGAAGAAATTTTCACTTTGGTGAAATACATTTTTGGTGAAGAAATTTTCACTTATATCTCCAATCTAAACCTCCCCTGGTGCAACTTGAGGCTCTTTCCTCTTGTCCCTTCACCTATGACTTGGGAGAAGAGACCAACTCCCACCTCTCTACACCCTCCTTTCAGGGAGTTTCAAAGACCAATAAGGTCTCCCCTGAATCCTGCCACCAAACATCAGGCAGTGCCCATCCTCCAACCCCTCTTTTGTCAACGTTGCACGTGCTTTTAGTGAAACACAAGTAGGGAATTACACACGGGAGACAAGGAATGGAGAAGAGAGATGTGAGCCTACCTAGGGTGCAGGTGGGCACCCGTGGGTACCATCTGCCGTTGCCCTGGCACCGCAGGGTGGTGGAGCCACCCATGGGGATGTACCCAGGGTCACACTGGAGCGTGGCCGTGCTGCCCTCGGTGAAGTTCCCTGCGGGTTTCAGCTGCCCGTGGGCGATGTCCGGGACGGGACACTGAGCCCCTGTGGATCACAAACAAACAGGGATTTTCAGGGTCATTCTTACAGCAAGAAACTGTCGCTGCTCCTCCTTCCGGCAAGAGAAGACAAATCGGTTTAACAAATCACAGAATCACAGAATCTTCTAGGTTGGAAGGGACCTTAAAGATCATCTTGTCCAACCGTCAACCTAACTGACAAAAATAGACACCCACACAACAAACAAGGAGCATCATCACTAAACCATACCTCCCAGCAATGCAGCAACTGAAGCTGGGAAATGAGGGGTTAATAAGCCTGTTTGAGCAGCCATGGTCAGTAGGGCTCCAAAGGTGTAGCGTTTCCCTTGCACACAATAAAACATTATTTCTGCCCTTTCCTGACAGCACTTGCTCCAGCAGGTTGGAGAACGATGCCCCCGTGCACCCAGGAGTGGGGTGACTCCAGGGGGCTGGCACCCCAGCTCCGGCTTTAAAGAGGGTCTCCAACAACTGCACAACCTCTGGCACACACACCTACACCACGTCCCAACTAAACACCTTTTTTTCTCCAGCTACTGTATGTCCCAGGAGAAATATCTTGGGGCTGGCCACAAACTGCAATAACAGAGAAAACTAAACTGAAGGCAGCCGTAAGGGGGATTTCCTCACACCTCACAACAGATGTTGGCAGGTCACCAGGACACAACGTGCCTGTGTTAAAGCTCACAAGATCTCTTGTTCTGCAGACAAGAGATCTGGCCCCAGGTACAGCAGCAGCCCAGGCCCCGTGTCGGGACGGTGATGGTGATGCTGCCTTGGATGCTGATCCGCATGGAAAGAGCATCTCCATCCACATGTGTCTTCCCTGGTCCCAGTTTAGGTACCGGCACCCTGTTCATGATGCGGAAAATGGACCAAACCCCGTGAATTTAAAACCAAACCGAAACAAGGGTGTAAAGCCGGCGCTGGCCACCGGGGGGCAGCAGATGTCGCTGCAGGAAGGCCCTGGGGACCCTGGGCACACCACGAGTTTCTCAAAAGGCCTGTTTTTAAAGGAACTGTCAACTTCTAGTCAGAAACTGCAGGTTATTCACCTTCCTGGAAACATTACTCAGCAAATCCCCTCTCCTCCTCTACTGAAGCCAGTCTGCAGGACCGAGACAACTCACCAACTACCTTCAGAGCGTCTACAGGCTGCCGCAGTGCTCAAGCATCAACCTTGGCATCAAGCTGGCACCACCCAAATTGCTAACTGTGACCCTTCCAATTAAATGGTAAAAGCTATTACCTAATTGACTCTCCCCATCTCACCACCATCTGCATCTTTGACCGCAGGGACATTCTCCAACCCTGGGAACAACTTCTCGGCCACCGCACGGAGGATGGAGACGAAGGGTGGTATCTACTCCCCGTGACACAAGCTCTGAACTCCAGACCAGCAGAAGTTCTGCAGACAAGAGATCTGGCCCCAGGCTGTCCCAGGGACAAGCTCGTAGCCTCTGAGCCAGCCGTGCTTAACAACACTGGTCTCGGGGAGGATTTGTACCCCAACATGAGACTCCAGAAAGAGTTGGGAATTTTGGGTGGCTCTTTGCAAGTATCTAGAGGTGCAGCTGAAGAGGAGAAAGAGGCAATTAGCAGAAGCCACCGAGCTCAAATCACCCTTACAAAGAACATCAGCCACAGAAGGAGGTTAGCAGTGACTCCAAGTCAGGAAGATGGATTCCTCCAAGGAGGAAGATGAGTTTTTCTAACCCCATCATTACGTATTTGATCCGTAAGCAAAGCCAAGCCAGGGAAGCAAAGGAAAGGGGAGCGACACTCACCGAGACTCCCAGGTGGCTGCAGCAGAAGCACCACGGCTGCCAGGAGCTGCCCCAGCCCCCGGAGAAACCCCAGCATGGTGCAGGAGCTTCCAGGGCAGCGCTGCGGGGAACGGAGAGGCTGTCCCTGCCCAGAGCCCGCTGGGGAAGGGGAAGCAGCTTTGGGAAGTGGGGGACAGGCCACACGAGCCACGCTGACACGGCCACCCCCCCAGCCTGAGGCCAGGGCTGCCAGCCCTGAGCTCTCCAGTGAGGATGGGAATGCTGCTCTGCCTTCTTCCCCAGCAAGGACAGTGGGAATAATGGTGTTTTACAGCTGGAATGGCTCTGCAGCATCCCAGCCTCCTGCCCCAGGCACAGGGAGCTGCTGGTGGGTGCTGGGCATTCACTTGGACCCATAGCCCTGCCCTCCGTGCCCAGCCAAGCCCTGATTATTGAAGATCCTCTTTCCTTTACTATAGACAGGGCATAATTATTAAAAGCCAGACACAGCTGTGATTGCAAGTGCAGCTTTATTATAATCTGGTGGTGAGGCAGTATTGGTCCGATGGCAAAGTGTGTGTTAACAGAGCGCTTCCCCTTTACTGGACATGGCAGAAAAAGTTCAGCTGCTGCTTCCTTTATGCTTTTTTTCCCAACAACCACCCTTGGGGCACACGCAAAGATGCGGTGAGTGGCACTGCCGTGGCCTCAGGCACATCATCTGTCCTGCTTGGGAAGAAAACCTGGCACTTTGGTTTTGCTAGAAGACAAAGTTGGAAGTTTTCTTCATCGCGCCTGCTCTGAAGGTCACAGCTAATTAAGCGGGTAAGTGCTTGCTCACGATAATGAACGCAGCAGATATGATGAGAGCAGCAAGGAGCAATACTGGGTGGCAGCTGAGGGGGTGCAGCAGTTGTGGGGCGAGTGTGGGGCTGGTGGCTCTCACCGTGATGGTCCCTGTCTGTACGGCACCTGCTCGGCTCCCACCTCAGTTTACTCTCCACTCAGTTCCTTTCCAACCACGCACTTGTCAGTAGAACAAGCATAGCTAAATGGAAAGCTCCAAAACGCATGAAGTGACATACAAATCTAACAGGATGAACCAGAAAGTGTCACTTTCTGACTCCCCCGTACGACCAAAGCTGTTCCTTGACTGATTGGTAAATTTTGTTCTGGCTACTTAAGTATTAGCACTAATTAAGAAGTCATAAAAAAAATCCTCAGTCAACACGATTATTCAACACGCAAAGAGGAGGGTTCTTATGATAGCAGTGATGACAGTCAGCCGTATGCTGGGACCTTCAGCTCCTTTTCAAGTTTCTGGATCTCCAAGTACAGTTTCCGGACTTCCAGCAGAGTCTTCAGTTCTTCCAGGGGAATTCCACACTGGAAAAACTGCTTGTCTCGAAGAACCCTCTCGCAGGCGTTGCGCTTTTCCTTTAAAAGAACCAAAACAAAGACAGAGGGCATGAGGCTCCGCTGGCAGGGACCTACGTGCAGAGCAACCCCTCCATCCAGCCCTCAGCCACACTGAGGAAGTCAAACCAGTGCTATTCTGGGCTCTAAATGGGGCGAGACACAGGCAAAGGCTGGCCAGATGGTGGTACTCACACACGTGGGTGGTGGGATCCAAGTGCCATTAACTGAACAGGTAGATTCTGAAGTTCCCAGTGAACGGCCACCCAGTTTGCACTGGAACCGCAGAGTTTCGTTCACCGAGTACCATAATTTAAGATTCCGAATTGTCAGGTCCTCCTGTCTTGGGGGTTGGTAACACTGAACTGAAAGGAAAATGCACGTCAAACAAAAAATAAAGTGATGGGAGGAGACGGAGGGGAAAACTCCCCACAAATTCCACCTGGTGATCCAAAGAAGCAGCACCCCTGGCCCGTGCCAGGGTCTGGTACCCACCTGGCTGGCAGGAGGGCAGGGGAGGGTGCCAGGCACCATCCTCCAGGCACCGGCTCTCGGCGTCACCGTGGAGCTCAAAGCCTTCCTCGCAGGAGAACCGCACGTCCGCCCCGTAGGGAAACGTCACCCTTGGTGGGGTCATCCTGGCCCTCTCCACCACGGGCTTGGGGCACCGGACCACTGCACGAAGAGAGAGCAGGGGGGGGTTTGGCTGCTGCCCATCCCTGGGGACAGCAGGGAACGGGGTCAGGCAGGGCAGAGCCACTCTCCCTGATGTTCTCTGCATCACTTTTACACTCAAACACAAGACTTGATCCTCAGCTGCCTGCAGCAGCCCCCAAGGAGACCCCACCAGGAGGCCCTGGTGTTCCTGAGCAGCTCATGGTGCTGAGACCTTCGCACAGGAGCCAGAGGAGATGCCTGGGCATTAGGTGGCTCTGGGTTTGGAGCTCCTGGACCAGGGTGGGGGCTTAGCCCCAGCATCATTCCCAGCTCCTGACTGATCCCATCCAGGAGAAAGAACTCACCCCTGCACTCCGGGGCAGGTCCACTCCACACCAGGTTCACCCCATCGTTGGAGGTGCAGTAGATGGACTCGTCCCCAATGAGGGACAGACCCTCCACACAGCTGTAGTTCACCCTTGCGCCGTAGGAGAACTGCTCCTGCCCCAGGCCAGAGTGCTTCCCGTTGCTGATTGGTGGAGGGGGACCACAGACTGTAGAATAAAGGGAATTGATTAAAAACCAGAGATGTACAGTTTTCACATTCAGGTGAGAATCAAAATTGCTTCTGGGAAATCAGTACAAGAGTTAACTTCATGTCTATAGGGTGGCAGATCATAGAATCACAGAATGGTTTGGGTTGGAAGGGACCTCAAAGATCATCGAGTTCCAACCCCCTGCCCTGGGCAGGGACACCTCCCACCAGACCAGGTTGCTCAAGGCCCCATCCAGCCTGGCCTTGAACCCCTCCAGGGATGGGGCAGCCACAGCTTCCCTGGGCAACCTGTTCCAGTGTCTCACCACCCTCAGAGTAAAAAATTTCTTCCTGAGATCTAATCTGAATCTTTTTTCTTCCAATTTAAAACTGTTTCCCCTTGTCCTATCATTACCCTTCAGATCCCCATGAAGTTGCTGCCTGGCTTCTTGCCTCTCACACCATCTCTCAAGGTTCCCCCTTCTCTCTCAGCTCCCACCTGGGTCACATCTCCAGGGAGAAGACACCTCAATGCCTTCAGCCCACAAACTGGTGATCATCGTCCTGTTCCCCAGAAGCAGAGGTCTGTCTCTGGTGCATGAGGTTTCTTCTCAGTGCTGCCTGACACGTACCTTTATCGCAGAAGGGTAACGGGGGAGCCCAGCTGGTGTCAGGCTGACACACTGTCCGCTCATGGCCCCTGAGGGCATAGCCTGGATCACACTCCACCATCAGATGGGTCCCAACTTTGTAGTCAGTTTTGCTGCTACGGACCTCTCTTCCATGAATAATATCTGGCTTTGGGCATTGAGGCACTAGGAACAAGGGGAAATAAAGGATGTCATGCATTTTCGGAACGAACTCAGTGAAGGGGAGTCATCAAGTGTGGAGAAGAGAGTCATCAAGAACATCTGACCCCTGGGGGAAAAAAGGTGACCATCACCCAGGTGCAGGTCTCAGCGCTGCCTGTGTAATACTAAAGGAGTTTCTGCTTCTACAGTGAGGTTTTTCTGAGGCTGTTGGGAAACATGCTGCAGAGCTGGGTCCGTGCCTGACTGAGCCCCCTCGGGGCTCCCAGCACCACGCACCCTTATCCCAAGGTGCAGCCCCAGCTTCCCCACTCCTGAGGATGCTGAGCATCTCACAGGCAGCGTTAGGGCAGGGCAAGGAATCATCCATGTTCTAATGCTTGGCTGCCCTGTGAGGTGGAGCAGGTTTCTCTCCTCCTGGCAAGGTTTTCCTGAGTTTTTGGGCTCAGGCTGCTTCCAGCAGCTGGCTGATATTGCTGTGGTGCCCCACTGCCAGGTTATTAGTTTCAGCAGCGTCACTTTTTTATGCTGTTGCATTTTCCTCTGAGAGGGGAAATGCATTGAGAATGTCCTTCTGCCTTTCAAGCCTCGTGTCAGCAAAGCAGCCCAGCTGTTGGCCAAAGCACAAACCACATCCCCTTCCAGCTGGGCAAGTGTCTCCCAGGCTTCTCAGGAGCCTCTAAAAGCTCCCAACACCCCACCCCTGCCAAAACCCCACACTTTTCCTGCAGCAGTCAATCAATCTGCATCTTTTCCTGCCTATTTCTCCCAAGTTATCACAGGAGGACCAGATCCGGGATGCAGTGGAGCAAAATTCTCCTTGGCTAATACTACCATTATCCAATGTCACCCGTGGATTTTTCTGGGAATGTCAGCAGACAACTACTCTGAACAGAGTGACCCAAATCTTAGCAGTGGAGAAGAAGCAGTCACCAAGCCACCACGCTTCACCAGCCCTTGCCTACCTGGAGTGCACTCTGCTGCAGGTGGATGCCATGTACCATCACTGGTACACCTAAGCATGACCTGGCTGCTGAGGTCTTTGAAAGCAAAGCCCTCGGAACACTTAATGGCCAGTGTGTCTCCAAACTCGTAATTGACTCTCTCTTTCCATTGATTTAGGAGCCTTCCATTCCTGATGACTGGATACGAGCACTGAATTCCTGAGAAATGCCAAACATGAGCAAGTGTGAAACCATGGCAAAGCCACCTGGCCGACCGCAGATTCATCGTAAACAGGAGGGTGAATGATTTTGAAGACACAGACAGATCACTAAATCTGCCCCAACAGGGTCCCTGGGTGCTCCCGGGGGTGTTTGCAAGGGACTCTGCAACCACAACCTCCCCTTGGATGGAGCAAGGGGCCCGCGACACGGCAGTGACTTTTTACAGGGGTTGAAGGGACTAAAAAAAAAAAAAATACTGGTAAATAAAGGAGAGAAAACCCTGTGGCTGGGGAACAAGCCAAAGGAGCTCGAGAGTCACAGCAAAGACCAGAGACACACCAAGCTGGGCACCCAGAGCATCACCCTGGGACCCACACAGCATGACAAGCACATACAGCTCCTTCATTCGGGAATAATTTTGCCAAATCCCAAGGGTAAGGCAGCCAAGGGAACACACACTTACTTTGGCAAGGCTGTGGAGTCTCAGACCACGTGAAATCCGGCAGACACTTAATGTGCCTCGTGGTTTCTCCCGGGCTGAACTGGTGGCCCTCCCTGCACTCGTAGGTAATGACAGTCTCCACGGGAAATAAATTGCCAGCAAGTTTTGCTTTAACAGCATTAGGCACATCCGGAGGGTCGTCACAGCTGCCTAGGAATGAAAGAGCCATTTAGGGACAGTGATAAATCAGCGAGACCCCTAATGGTGTGTGACACAAGAGAGAATCTGGGGAAAAATCATGGGCTCACGCTGTTCTCTCCGAGATGCACTTCATCACCTGAGGTCAGTAACACTGAAGAGCAAACGCAAAGGAGACAAACGAGAACATGTGAATAATTTCAGACTACGTGGTGATCTTCACTGTTGTAACAACATGTAATTTCTAATCAAGTTTATGCTATCCGAGGCTTCCAACAAAGTTTAAAATAAAGCGTAGTAAGGTTAATTTAGGCCCAATCAAGGGTTAATCAAAGGCCCTTTGAGTTGTAGTAAGAAATTATCTCAGCCTGAGCGGGACAAGGCTTTAGCCTCTATGGTCCCAAGTCATAAATTCCAAAAGTCACCTTTGTGCTGCAGAGAGAAGGGAAAGAAAGAAGGGAAAGAAACAAGGGAAAGCAAGAAGGGAAAGAAAGAAGCGAAAGAAAGAAGGTAAAGAAAGAAGGGAAAGAAAGTAGGGAAAGAAAGAAGGGAAAGAAACAAGGGAAAGCAAGAAGGGAAAGAAAGAAGCGAAAGAAAGAAGGTAAAGAAAGAAGGGAAAGAAAGTAGGGAAAGAAAGAAGGGAAAGAAACAAGGGAAAGCAAGAAGGGAAAGAAAGAAGCGAAAGAAAGAAGGTAAAGAAAGAAGGGAAAGAAAGTAGGGAAAGAAAGAAGGGAAAGAAACAAGGGAAAGCAAGAAGGGAAAGAAAGAAGCGAAAGAAAGAAGGTAAAGAAAGAAGGGAAAGAAAGTAGGGAAAGAAAGAAGGGAAAGAAACAAGGGAAAGCAAGAAGGGAAAGAAAGAAGCGAAAGAAAGAAGGTAAAGAAAGAAGGGAAAGAAAGTAGGGAAAGAAAGAAGGGAAAGAAACAAGGGAAAGCAAGAAGGGAAAGAAAGAAGCGAAAGAAAGAAGGTAAAGAAAGAAGGGAAAGAAAGTAGGGAAAGAAAGAAGGGAAAGAAAGAAGGAAAAGAAAAAAAAAAGAAAAAATCCCAAAAGGTTAACTCTTTCAAGACCTAATGAAAGGGTGGGCAGAGATGGGGGGGGAAGGTCCCGGAGTCCATGCACTCACTGCGCTGGCAGAGGGGTGGCGGGGGGTCCCAGAGGCCGTTTCGGCTGCAGGTGGAGGTGTCGCTGCCGTTCATGGTGTGGCGGAACTTACAGTCGAAGATGACGGTGTCTCTGTAGGTGTACTCGGGCTGGTACCCGCTCACCAGCAGCCCGTTCTCCACGCTGGGAGGCTCACAGTTCACCACTGCGCCAGGGAAACACCACCACTCAGGATATTACACTCAGGAGGGGGGGAGTAGGGTATGAAAAACATTCTCACAGCATGAGAATGTGGGATTTTGGCAGGGGTGGGGTGTTGGGAGCTTTTAGAGGCTCCTAAGATGCGTTCACCAAAGAGGCTGAAAATAGACACGATAAGCTAGCAGGCTGATGCGATATTTTTTAACTCCTTACTCCCTATTACAGCATATTTTTTTTAATCTCACACTTTTTATTAAGGCAAAGGATAAGATGAATATAGGAGAGGCAGCAGGCATCACGTGAATTTCACTGAATTTTAGAGTTGGAAGGGACCATAGAGATCATCTAGTCCAACTCCCCTGCTGAAGCAGGATTGCCTAGAGCTTGTCAGAGCATGTTACTCAGGAGCATCCAGGTGGGTCTTGAAAATCTCCAAGGAAGGGGACTCCACACCCTCCCTGGGCAGCCTGTTCCAGGGCTCTGTCACCCTCACTGTGAAAAAGTTCTTCCTCATATTTGAGTGGAACCTCTTCTGTTCCAACTTGTGCCCGTTGCCCCTCGTCCTCTCACTGGGAACCACTGAAAAGAGTCTGGCTCCCTTGTCCTTCAACCCTCCCTTGAGATACTTGTAGGCATTAATAAGGTCTCCCCTCAGCCTTATGAGTTTCTGAATTCTTTGCAGGCGCTCTGTTTTACACAGGCTGGCAGCCAAGATGCATTGCTTGGTCTGTAAACACCACTAAATCCCACTCCCATTTCCCCTGGTGACTTGGTGACCATGAGCAGCCACGGTCCCTGCCAGGGGAGACCCTAAATCCTGTTGCCACTGCCAAACGGAGTGGGGCTCATCTGCAAGAGGCGATTCCCGCACAGAAAGGAGATGGTTTCAGGAAGAAAACAGCTTTAGGTGTAGGCAGAGGAGGAGGAGGGATGGCTGGGGGCTGCGGGATCCCAGTGAGCCCACGAGCATCCAGGGGCATCTCACCTTTGCACTCTGGGGCTGGCTTGTTCCACACACCGTTTACGTTGTCTGTGGTCGTACAGAAAATAGAGCCATCTCCCACCAACGAGAAAGGCTTCTCTCCCCTCCTGACACCGTGGCACCAGTAAGTGATGGAGTCTCCGTACTCAAAGTGCTCTTTGCCAGCTCCACTGTGCTGTCCATTAGCTATTTCTGGGGGGGGTGGACACGGTATGGCTGGGGAGGGAAGGGGGAGAAATGCCAGAGGGAGGGGAAAAAAAAAAATAGAGAGAAGCAACTTAATTTGATTTTGAACCAAAGATCCAGTAAAAAAACCCTGAAACACGAGTTGCCAGATGGGTCAGAAATTAAGGGTAGGTCTCCAGGGAGCTGCAGGGCTGTGTACCGGTCCTAGATGCAGCTGCCTTACTTTAAGACAGCAAATAAATATTTCTACAGGATGATGCAGGAAGAAAAACACAAAGGAAAAAAGTCTTTCCAGACTCCACCATGCATCAAACTGCTGAAATCCTCAGCAGGGCAAGGCGGCTGCTGCTTTACCCATCCCCAGTAACATTTAAACTGTAGATCAATCAAGGAATTCTACTTACTCTCACAGATGGGAATATCTCTGTCCCACGTAAGAGCCCCGTTTCTAAGCACACACTGAATTTGAGAACTTCCAACCAGTCTGAACCTGTGTGAAACAGGGGAGAGGGAATTACCCGACAAACTCAGTTTTGATGTATTATCTACAACATCACCATCAAGATGGGTTGGGCTTATCATAATTACAGCTGATCAGAAATTTGCCATAGTTGTAATTTATTTTTTTTTCCAATGACACATTGGTTTTCGACAAAGGCACTTTTTAAATTAAAAAAATAGAATCATAGAATGGTTAGACTTAGAAGGGACCTTAAAGATCATCAAGTTCCAACCCCCCCTGCCACGGGCAGGGACACCTCCCACTACAGCAGGTTGCTCAAATTACAAATATTACATGTGTTCTAAGGAAAAACATCTACTTTATCAGCCAGCTGTAGCCATCACTACAGCTCCGAGTTCAGTGTTGATGTCTTTTCTTCATGAAGATACTGAAACATGGGAAATGGCTTAGAAAGGGCCAGGAGAGTGAACTTGGGTTTGGGAAGAACTGCCCCAAAGTAAGAGATTAAGAAAACTCAGACAGTCTTGAAGCTCTCAAAGGAAAGCTTAAAAGATAATTCGATCACAGTCTGCAGTTACCTACATGGGTAAGGCTTCTGCCAGCACAGGCTTTAATTTGGAGGGAAAAACTTCAGAAAAATCACTGGAGAAGAAGAGGACACGTGCCCCAAGAGACCCCGGCTTACCCAGTGTTGCAGGTGAAGCTCACAGTTGTACCAAAAGCGAAATTATCTGCCAGGATGAGTCTGCCGTTGGCCAGCTCTCCAGGGTAGGAGCACTGCTTTGCTGGGGGATGACAGGGGCAGAGTTAGTTCTCATTTTAGTTCTTTGAAGAATGGGGAAAGTGCAGCAGGAAAGCAGAAGACTCCTCCAACACTGAGCAAGGGGATGAACCAGAAACCTCCAAATTTCCACTCCAACCCTAAATTATTCCATGAGTGTGACCTGATGCATATTCCATGCATCGTGACCTGCAGCCAGAGTTACTGCAGTCTGAGAGGGGCTTTGCAGTAACCCTGGCAAGTGTGACTGTTTCTTTCCAGCTAAAGGATTCTCCTACTACAAGCCTAAAATACTTCTTTTTTTTTTTTTTTTGAACCGAGAGTTACGAAGTGCCCAAGCAGAAGAACATCCTTTGAGTTGGCAACCAAACACAGCCAGCATGAGAGCAGGTTCCAGCTTTTGCCACTACTTTATGGAATACAACCAGTGGTTCATGTCAGGTCACTCGTCTCCCACCATCCCAGGAGGTCACTTTGGACACTCCAGCACAATGAGCTCACGGCATCCCCCAATAAAGAATAAAATCAAAAGTCAACTGAAAATATACTCACGTGTACACATGTCATGCGAGCCTTCCCACCTGTTATTCCTTCCACAAGAAAGACTGTTTGGGACACCAAAATTTCTCTTGTAACCTGAACGACAGGTGTATTCCACCCTCGAATTAATGGCAAACGTGGTAATGCCCTTGTAGTCCTCTTTGAGTTCTGCAGACAGGAGACGCGGCGGAGCATCACAGTCACCTACCGACAGAAACTCCATCAGGAAGATGCTCTGAGGAAAAGCACTGGGAGTTCAGGCCTGATTTACTCTGCAGGTCCAGGCAAGGACACTTTTGGTGGCCTTAAAGCTCCTTAAAGCTAGAGACAAGGAGGAAAAGCACAGTCTGTGACTGGGGATGGCCGAGGCTGGAAGGCATCACCCCAGAAGGCCCTGTGCTCCTCACACCTCATCCAGCAGTTTCAAAGGCTGGTCACTAAGTCCAGATCAACCATTTCCTCTCTCCAATTAGTATAAATCATTGCACCCTTTTCAGCTGGAAAAAAAAAATCTACATCTGTTTTACACAGAAAGGAAAAAAAAAAAAAGCAAAGGAAGACAGGTTCTGATCACAAAGATTTACAGTGTTCGCAAAATGCAAAGGCATTTTCCTCTTGAAATGAGGAGGAGGAGGTTTTCCTTTGAGGGATCTTAGATTATCCCCAAGAGTCACCTTCACTTACTCTGGACAGCCACGACAAGAGCAGCGGCGAGGGACAACCCAAGGAGAGCGGTGCCATCCCTCTGCCTCCCCGGCTCCAAGGCTGGCATCTTTCTTTATTCCAGCCTCCCCGTCCAGAGACCCCACAGAAGTTACCACACTCTTTTTCTAGGCCAAATACCTGTAAAAATAGCAGGGGAGGGGGACATTATTTACACTCGGGATAACCATAGCTCACAGGGATGGGACCCATTTCTCCATCCCTAAGCAGTTCCTGCAGCCGTGGCTGGGGACCAGAAGCTGCAGGAGATATTTCAACAGCTCCACTGTTTGCTCCTCTCTGGCCAACGGGACAGAGACCTGGCAAGAAGGAGCTGGAGCAGAGCTGGGTTTGGGTGAAGAAGGCTGGGTCCAGCTGAGCAGACCCAGAGACAACATAAACAGCAAAACTGACTCCAGATGTTAAGCAACTCCCACAGGATTTATTCCACTGGCCTCATTTATTTGCGTTTTTGAGAATGCAGTATTTGATTAAAATTTTAAAATAAAAATAACCAAGAAAGACTACTAGCTCCACTCAACCCAAAACATAAATACTCACGTAGCTTGTCAGATTCAACTTAAAACCACTATATTGCCAACACAGTGTTCTTCCCAGCCATCTACTCAAATTAATATCTGCAGGGCCACAAGCTTATCTATGGCTTCTGGAAAAAGTCCCCTGAAACTTATCTTACAGGTAAAACATCTTGTTCCTGTAATAAATCTCTTGGAAGCAAATTCATAATCAGATGAAGTCCTGCTGGAGCCAGTACAGCCCCCTAATAAACTACACGCAGGAAGAGAGAGATGGAGCGATATCTAACCCAAGAGACATGTCAGTTCTGTGCAAATAACATCAACTGAGTAAAGCTATAAAGCATACAAGTCATTCAGGAGGCTGAATTACTTTGCAAAATGCAATTTAAGTACAATTTGGACTAACCTGGCACCCCTAGAGATCAGCAAGAGTCCTCTCTGACTTTGTTACCCAGGCTCATCATTTACGAGCCAAAACCCTCCCAACATTAAGTGCACTCCAAGTGCCTGCCTTCCTCGTGGAAACCAGAGTCACTCCTGATGTTTGCTGCCCTAAACCTACCATTTCCCGTGGCTGCTTCATTCCTCTGGCTTTCCTTCAATCCCTGTTACAGCTCGTGGTTTAATTTGATTTATTTTACTAATCTCTGTGCTTGCTAGAGCTGCAGGAAAGCTCCAACCCAGTTCCCAAGAGCAACATCACCCATAGCTGCATTTGCTTGAAGTCGTGTTACCTGGAGGTCTGGCAGGAGGAGATGGAGAGACCCAGCTCTTGTTCAGCTCTTGCAAGACGAAGTGATGGTTGTCCTTGTCCAGGCACCGCTGAAGGAGGAGTCACGATACGCCTACACGCTCAGATACGGCTCCACGGAGGAAAGTTTGAATTCTGCAGAAACCGGAGTTAGGCCAGTTGACCCATAAATCATTAATCATCCTCCTCTGAGCAAGAAGGAAGTAGTTTGTTCAACCCGCAAAGCAAAACACTAGAAAACTGAATGCAACCCAAGCAGATGTTGAAATTGTTTGTTTTCTGCGTGGAGCTGCCAACTCTTTGTTGAAATGATCCTTGCTGAGCGGGACGCTGCCCCTTCCACCCTGTGGCAACGGCACCTCGGGCACACGATGGGGACTTCCTCGAGAGGTCCTGCTTCACCTGGGGCATGTCAACCATGAGATCCTCCCTTCTGACCTCGAAAGCCTACGGCCAAGACTCAAAACATGGTTTCTTCAACCAGCTCCACCTAATTCCATTGAAGCAACACCAGCTGGAGCTCAGCAGCACACGAGGTCCTGGGGAGCATCACTCAGAGCTGACCACCCAGGTCCATGATGGGAACCCAGCCGCCCTTCGTCTCCCTGAAAGCTCTTCCTGAATCTGGCTGTCGCTGGGGGGTCATTTTTCCAGTAACAAGAGTTTTGGCAGAAGTTGCAACCATTTGCTCCTTTCTGTACTTTGGCTTCATCCAGGCTTGAATCTCCACCAAGAACCCGGCAGTGGCCTTTTTACCCCGGGCTGTGCTTCTTGCAGGAATTGCTTTGTTTTGTCAAATAAGGGTTTTTTTGCCAGAAAAATGTACCACATCCCTGCATTGAATGGGATATCTATTACCTTTGTGAAGTCGCCCTGAGTTCATGCCAACACACAATGAATCAGGTTTAGTTCCTGCTCTGTAAAACATGGCAAAGGGCCACCTGCCCTCACCCCACAAGTGGGGGCTCGCTCACAACCAGCCCCCTCATTACATGGGGTGCCCAGGGCTGCGAGCAGCACCCAGGGCACAGACCACACCAAAAGCCCCCTCCTGCTCCTACGGCTGCTAAAAACCCCCAGGACCTCCTTGACCCACCACTTTTCGTGGGATAAACAGCATAAAAGGGGTTTTCCTTGAGCACATCTCTTCAGGCTGCGGCTGGGGAGTCCCTTTGGGAGCAGCTGGTTTCCAGCTCCAAATGCTGGAAGTCACAAACTCACACCAGTTGGTCCTCTTGGGGTTTTTTTTTAAATTTTCCCTGGAAAAAGATGTGCTTTAGAAGAAAGGGTTCCTACTCTAATAGCTCCATGGCAAATGCAACAATCTCAATTCCAACAGCTCCAACAAAAACACCCTCACAATTGATGAGGGAAGGGGATGGCAGGCATAGCTCTGGGGTGCAGGATTCACCATTTCCAGCCCAACCCCTGGAAACCAGGGACACCTGCCCTCCCCTGCAGACCAGTTCCTCCAAATACTTTCCAGAAACTCCCTGAATTCATAGAATCATGGAGTGGTTTTGGTTGGAAGTGACCTGTAAGATCATCAAGTCCAACTGTTAAGTAGCTCTGGGGTGCAGGATTCACCGTTTCCAGCCCAACCCCTGGAAGCCAGGGACACCTGCCGTCCCCTGCAGACCAGTTCCTCCAAACCCTTTCCAGAGACTCCCTGAATTCATAGAATCATGGAATGGTTTTGGTTGGAAGAGACCTGTAAGATCATCAAGTCCAACTGTTAACCCAGCACTGCCAAGTTACCACTAACCCATGTCCCTCAGCACCACATCTACACGTCTTTTAAACACCTCTAGGGATGGTGCCTCATTATCTCCCCAAACCAGCACACAGTAGGTAGTTATAGCAAAAAATAATGGAAAGTAACAGAGGAAAATAAATCTATTTTCACTTAAAAATCTCTTTATTGTAAATAAAGGCTCTCTCCCCAAACCAGCACACAATAGGTAGCTATAGCAAAAAAATAATGGAGGGTAAGAAAGGAAAATCAATCTATTTTCACTTAAAAATCTCTTTATTGTAAATAAAGGCTCACGGGACATTTATGCTCAAGAGCAGAGTACGCAACATACAGCACAACTTTACATACACTGCATTTACTTAAAACCTAAAAAAAAAAGACATTAGAAAGCAGTAATCCAGCAGAATTGAAAAGCAGACATATAACATCCATCTCGGTAAACACTGAAGGGAGAAGCTGCCCTTTTGCAAACAGTGTTTGGAGACAGAGGAGCAGCAGGAGAGGCAGTGGGGCTTGGAGGAGCAGGGCTGAGGGTTTGGGATATTGCCTGGGAAGTGGCTCCCGGGAGCCCTGGCAGTGAAGCCCCCTCCCCAAGGCTGTCCCTCGGCCCCGAGGCCGGGCTGGGATCCCCCCATCACCCACTGCCAGGAAGGGGACACCTGGCAGAGAGGTGGCAGCTCCAACGTCACAGCCAGCGTACACAAACTCAAGCTACCCAGCCTGGATTTAAGCCTTTTCCCCTCACTCTCCACTTTTCCCCATGGCTGGCACCACAGATTGAATAGATTTTGCATAAGTGATTATTTTTCTCTAAACTGACCCGTGATGCTGATGGGACAGCCAGCCCCTGGACCAGCCGTGCAGGTCCCACAGTGGCCCTGACAGCGGCCACCACCACCTCTGCTGATGGAAAAGGATGGGAAGTCAGGGAATACAGAAAAAAAACCCCTCACTCGGAGGGGCCCACCAAGCCCACTTCACACCCACCACCTCTGCACACCCAGCCCAAGACGTCGGCTCCGGGAGGACACAAACCTCTGCTAATCCTCAGTTCAGATAAATTGTGCAACCGTTGTTTATCCTGGGGTATTTGCCCGCACGGTGCCAAGGAAATCAGGTGATTTCAAGGAAATACCTGGCACGGGGACCCGGCAGCCCGGCTGGGGCTGGGGGGGACGAGTGGGCTCGCTGGCATTGCCCCAGCCTGGCCACCCCCTGGGCTTGGGGCTCGGCAGGACCCTAGGACCTGTCACATCAGGGACAATTCACCCACGGGGCAACAATGATCATCACAAATCTGCTGCTGCTCTGCTCCAGACACCTGTATTTACACCTTTCGAGAGTTGAAATGCAGGAGGAAAAGGGAATAGGGCATATATATACACATACCCTATATATAGGGTATGTGTATATATATATAAATATATATATGTACACCCACTCAACAGGAATAAGGGACCGAAAGCCACCGATCCAAAACTGCAGACCCCATCTTTAGCACTGATTAAAAAGTTATGACTGCCAGCATCCCAGCAGCTACATTCCTCAATCCCGGCAGGTAAAAATAGATATTTTTTGTCTCCTTGCAGCCACCAACTACTCAACCATACAAATATAATTAACTCCTTAGCAAGCTATTACCAGCATATTGTGCGTAAACATCCTACAGTACATTTCTACTCCTTTTTTCCCCCGTGGAGCTGGAGGTCTCTTGGTAGGAGCAGCCGGGCTCGACACAGAGCGGGTTTGTGCGTTTGGAGCATTATCAGAGAGCGAATCTCACCGTGCAACAGGCTATAAATCTCTTCCTTCAATATATTTTTTTTTTCCCCTGGCTTATTTCTAAGCACTTGTAACATTTAAAAGAAAAGAGCAGACAGCTCTTGCAGAAAAGGCTGCAGGAAACCCGCTCCCCGGCGGGAACAGCCCAAGGGACAAAACTAATAAAACTCAGTTTCTCACCCACTGACTTTCCTCCCTGCAATTGCTTCAGATCAACACACGCTTCTGCTCCTCTGAAATCAGTGCCTCCAGGATTAGTGCCTGTGCCCTCGCTGTGGCCCCCTCTATCTCAAGCCTTTATCAAATTAAAGCTCTGGGAGCATTTAAAACAACTGGGTTTGAGCCCAAAAATCCCCCGGTAAACCTCAGGCTTCCAGGCTGCTGAGCTCCTCCGCAGGCAGGGCCAGAGGGTGGACGGTTTTCAAACACAGATCCCTTCTGTGGGTACAGCCAACATTTATTTATACATTTAAAATCAGCAACCTGGGACCCAGAAGGTGCTCGTATAAAACCTGGAGTCACTGGAAGCAGCAGGTCCCGAAGAGCCTCCTGCTTCATACCTAAATGCTCCTTTCTCCACCCAACCTGAGGATTTTGCCCTTAGTGCAAGAACAGGAGGAGTGTGGCAAAACGGAGTTTGGCAAAACACAAGTCAAGATTTGGGGGAGAAAACCGTAAATTCGGGGGTTTGGTGGGGATTTAAGACAGACACAGCTGTGGCATGAGCTGTACCACAAGGGAGTCTCACTAAAGCAGCTTCACCTCTACTAAAGGCAGCGTCACCCACCAGTAATGGCACAGCTTAGTTATAGGCAAGTTTAAAAACCTCAGGGGCCTAAAATTTGGTACATTAAAGAGACAACTAGCAACAATGATGGCGTTTGAACTTGGAAAGGGTAACAGTTAAATAAAGACTTGGGGATTTGGTCTGATAACGCGGCCTCCGAAGAAAAGCTGCTTCAGGGAGTAAGGATGTGATCCCTTTGTCCTCACAAACCGCGGTTAATTTTGCCACGTAACCCAGAGGAAAGATGCAGGATGCTATTTAACAGCCCAGAAAGCCCTGGGGTACACTAGCAAACATGTAGTAAAAGCAGGTTGAAAAAATCTCCGCAGTAAATCTCCATCGACAGACAAATTCAGAAAGAAAAGAGACAGACAGGCTCTATAAAAACCTCAATTTCAGAGGAGAGTACTGGCCGAAGCGGGGGGCTCACTGTGCTCCGGGGATGCTCCAGTCCCATCCGTAGGGCTCTTCCCGGCCACAGGAATCCCTGCCGAGTCCCAGCTGAGAGTGCAGAGCTCTGCTACACTCTTAGCCCGGCCATGCTCTGCGAACGAGAGAGAAAGGGGACGGGTTACAGTGAGGGCAAAGCAGGGGAGCAGGGGACAGCAGAGCCCAGCTCGGTGCTGGGGACCAACGGACGGACAGACAGACACCGCGGCAGGAGGATCCGGCCACATCCACAAAGTCATCACCACCTGAGGATCTGCTTTTTTACTCCTCCCTGAGGAAATAATGAGCTGCATCATGTTTTGCATCCTCCTTTCATCCTCCTTTAACCCCTTGTAAACCTCCCCAAAGGGTTTCCCAGTCTCACCCCGATGCCACACAAGCTCAGGGTTACTGGAGCACCCCCAGGGATGGGATTCAAGAACGAAGCAGGCTGGTCACTCAGGGTTACTCGTTTTTATTTATCTTCTCCATAGGAAAATACACTTCCAGGACAAACATAAAAAACCCGTTACAGTAACCATTTGGCACGTTAACCACAATAAATACTTATAGCTTTGATAAAACTCCTTCCGTTGCCTCCCCAAGGGTCCAACCGGAACACGCTCAGGTCAGTACAGGTGAATTACGTATTTACAAACTCACAATCACACAAGTTAAAAACCTGACAGCCAGGATTTCCTAAAGCTGCTGCTCATGCAACGTCTCAGAGCTCGGAAAAGGCTCGGAAGGGCTCTGGTCCGGTGCCCGCTCCGGGGCTGCAAACCCCTGGGTGAATCAATAGGGGCAATTTGCCTCGTTACCCAACCAGTGCGGTTTTGCAATAAAAAAAATGGCACAGACATCAAGCCAATGTGCTGACAATTGACAGTAGGCATCAACACCTAAAAAACCAACAGCCAGGAAATCCAGGCCCTACGTATTTTCTATTTGCAATTAAAAAATAATAATAATTAAAATAAATATCTAAAAAGATTTCCCAACAAGGACACTCCAAACATCAGCACCAGCAGACAGAGGCAACCCACGAGAGCTGCTCACAGGCCACTTTCTCAAGCAAAGTCCCAACACTTGAAAGGAAGAAGGTTTGGACTGGAATCAAAGATGTTTGACCAAGTTCCCTTCCTTTATCTGCAAACGCTCCCAGGAAGCCTGTGTTAGAAGAACACTTGAAGCGCAGCGTTTTAAAAAGTCACTTTGCAAAGCTGGTATATACATTCATTCCCTAAACACACAGCTCCTCCAGGCTGAGAGTAAAGGCAAATCCAAAGGGATGAGGCATTGATTTTTAGCCTACGGATCATTTTCCTCTGATTTGATTCTAGATTAATATCACTCAGTATAGGAACAATGATTTATCGGATTTATAACAAGCTCCCCTGGCTCAGGTTCTTTCTCCTTTTTCCCCCCTCATCTTCAACACGAATGCCTCAGAAGCCCAGGAGACAGGCAACTTTAGGGGAAATGTGCCTTTTTTTGCATTGCCACTGGCTGGACGGTTCCACGTTGGCCATCCCAACATGGGAGATGCTCCACAGCATCCCAGCTCCATGCTTTGTGCGATTCCACAGCTTTGGCAGGAGAGTCAGTGAGGAAAATTGGGCAGCATTCCTGCAAATGCTGTCCCAAGCCAGAGAAGAGGAGACAGAGGTGTGTGGCTCCACGATCAATCCCACACCCCCGTGTCCTACAACACGTGCGTAATCAGCGGCGGTGGAGAGAGACAGAGCAGTCACATTGAGAAAAACTGTTGGAAAAGCCTCACAGCAAGGTCAAAGTGCTATTATAATAAAAAAAAAAATGCACATCCAAAGGGCCACGTACATTCAAGAGGGAGCTCCTCAGGCCTGGAGGAAGGTGGGCAGAGGCAGGAGCTGAGCTGCATCCTGTGGTGGCCAGACCTGTGCCCCATCACCGCAGGGACCACCCTGCTGGGCGAATGGGGACACCTCCCCCCCCAGACCCACATCTCCTGGTAACGCCTGACACTTGGGAACCCAACCTGCTACCGTTTCACTGCTCTTTTGCCCCAAAACCCAGCTCTCTCTTTGACACCAGAGCCCATCCCCTGGTAACGCCTGACACTTGGGAACCCAACCTGCTACCGTTTCACTGCTCTTTTGCCCCAAAACCCAGCTCTCTCTTTGACACCAGAGCCCCAGGAGCGAGAGGATCTGCCCCAAGCCCCAGGAGCAGAGGTGAGGAGGGAGCAGAGCAGACCCCATCAGCCCAGGCACAGCTACCCAAAGCCTCCAAGGACACAGCTCGTGCCACCTCTGAGCCCACCCTTTGGCACTGGCACCCTTGGGTGCTCCCAACAAGGGAAGACCCCCTCCCAAAAAGCGAGGGTCCTCCCCAGAGCATGAGGACAAGCACGGCGCCGCGCTGAGGATGCGGCAACGGGACCGTCCCACAGGCCCACAGGGGGACCTGCCATGTGATACAGCCTGGCCCCACAAAAGACCACCGAAATGGTACTAAACTTTTACAAAACCAACAAAAAAATAAATAAATCATGAGCGCTGGATGTACTGCATGAGGCGAAAGACCCCGTCAGCCAAGCGAGGGGTCACAGCAGGGTCTGCCACGGCCACCAGCAGAGCAGGGGCTGGGGATGGACCTCAGGGATGGTGGGAACGGGGCGAAGCGAGGGCATCTCTGGCCTTTCTGCGTGGGGTGGCAGCCACGGTCCCATCCCTGCCCCTCACTCCGTGGCCGAGAGGGAAGGCAAGGCCTCGTGGGTGACGCCGGCTGGTGGCTCCCTGGAGAGGGGGGGACAGACAAGGACACGTTTTCCCCTTAGTGCAGGAGAAAAGCAGCCCTGCTCTCGTCGCCCCCATGCAAAGATGCTTCCAAGGGGATGTGACAGTGAGGGCTCAGTGACAACTGCCACCAACACAGGTCATTCCACACGGATGCTTTCCAAACATGCACTAAACCCACCCAGCTCCCTCCAGTCAGGGGGAAAACCGGGGCTGAGTGGTTGCAACACAATCACTCCTGCAAAATCCCCATGAGAAGGATTGTCACCACACCTCGTCCCAAGCGGGGAGAAGACACCAGTGGGATGTGGCTCCAGCACAGAGCACTCCCACCTCCAGGGATGGAACAGGCAGGGGGTGACACACGCTTTTGCATTCAGCCAGCATGAGTGTAACACACCAGTAAGTCCAGTTGGAGCCACTGGGCCAGCAGCCTCAGCCCCAGTAACTTATTTCTCCCACATTAAGGTCCCCCTTAACGACAGGTTATTACACAGCAAAAGACTTCCCTCTGCTCCATGCGTTTGTCTTTCCCCAGAGCGCTTTCCATGCAAGATTAATCAAGAGAAGTCCTACTTACTAAAGCACAAGAGAGTACATACAAGCTGCTGGCAGTGGTACTCACAGGCAAGCATTTCCCCCTTGAGGCTGCAAAGGAAAAAAAGAAAGAGCACAGGATAGCTCATAGAGCGTTTGAAAGGAGATTTTTGAAATAATAGTAAGAGCAGCAAAGCAGACGAGGAGAGAAGTGAAGCAACCCCAGGGATTTTGTGTCAGGGAGCCGAGGGCAGGCTGGTACGACAGCAGGAGCTGACACGGGGCACGGATGTGGTGTGAAGATGTGGTGCATCACCCTCCTTTTACTCTCTGGCCCCTTGCTCTGCTAACGGGGAGGAGGAGGAGAAGCAGAGCTGGGCTCACCGAACACCTTGGAAAATGTTAACCTCTAAATTACCCAAGATCATTTTGTTTTTAAACAGCTTTGGTAAGGATGGCTGTCTCTGCACGGGGAGCCCAGCCAAGACCTCCTCGAAGGGAGCAGCCCGCTCTGCCTGCAGTCTGCCAGGCACAGAAAAACTCCTAAATTAGCAGAGAAACAATTTTAAATGAGCAAAGAAACCAATGGGGCTTTGCATCCAGCACCGATAAGGACCTACATACTTCTAAGTTAAAAGAAACGCCAAGCACCAAAACCTAAACCACTTTAATTTGGGCACCCAAAGAGCCCAATTTTTACTCAACGAGGTGCTGCCGTCGGCACCTGCAGGGGAACAGGCACCAAAAATATCACAGACGCAGAGATTTCCTACCCAGTTGCTCTGGAGCTGGAGCAACACAGCACAGAATTGGGACAAAGAAGGTATTTGTAACTCTGTCCCAATCAGTTTTTTGCTGGAAAGTGAGATGTTGCCCCGAATTAACCACCCTACCAAAGCCCTGCTGCACTGATGGACGCTCGCCTGCACGGAGCCCGAGTTTTAAAGTCTCTGGCACCACAATTCTAGTTTAATGAGGTGACTTTGGGGCTTGGGGTTGTTTTTTTGGTGGGTTTGGGGGATATTTTTTTTTTCCCTTAAGGCAGTCTAATCCAGAATGATTTTCATGCGGGAACAGAGATGGTGACTAAGACCCCGGGAAGGGTCTGTATTTCATGGAGGGCGACCAAGAGCCGCGGGCGATGGTGGGGAGGGGGAGCACAGGGAAGGTACCACCTGGACACCAACTTGTAGCTGCGGCCCCTCGGCCCCATCTCGAGCTTCCAGGGAGGGGAACGGCCCCAGCAGGTCGAGAGGTTTGCTCCCAAGGCTGTAATGTCGTGGGCGCTTTACCGTGTCCGCGCTGGCCCGCGGCGTAAAGCTGTTTCTTCTCATCCTTACAGGGGTTTGGCTGGCGGGGAGGTTGCTCTGATCCCAGACGGAGGGTGTCACAAGGAATGAAAAGGGGAACCACAGTTTAAAACAACGTCGTGGACCAGCACGCTCCTCTGGCATCCCCCTCCCTGCAGGGACCCCCAAGCTCCCAGCAGCTGGGGCTGAAGCTCAGTCAACCCAATGATACAAAAAAAATTGGCCCCCATGGTAAAAAGAATTAAATAAATACAATTATTTGGAAACTTCCAGCAGATACCCAGAGGGTACCAACACCACCAGGACCTGCTTCCCCCTGAAACAAGGTCCTGGTGCAGCCCCCCAAGACACAGCAGCATCAAACGCCTCAAAAATAGCAGCAGATGGATGTGCCCGTTAAACAACCCCTTCTGTCGGTTAATTCGGCTCAGAGTCTGCTGAAAAAGTCTGCTTTTTTAGCAGTTTTACTTCCCTTTGGGATTTTTGCTTAGGTAGCTTTGTTTGTTTGCATTTGTGGTTTGTTTATTTTTTTATTTTTTTTCCTCCTCGCAATAAATTTAGGGGGAAAAATAATAAATAATAAAATATAAAATACTCCCTTCTTTGTGTTTCTTCTCCCCCAAAGCAGCTGCATTGCCCGAGAGAAGCAAAGAACAACCAAAACAGCCTCCAACTTCTCAGAGAGGGCAGCAAGGATTCCAACACCGGCATCGCACGCAAGTCATAGAGCCATGAATGCTCGACTGGAAACCACCAGAAAGGGACCAGCCACAAAAATCTTCCCCAATATCCCGAGTTTAGCATTTTGCCATCAGCTGGATTTAGCTCTGCGAACCCTCTGGCCACAGAGGCAGGTTCCTGGTTTCTCACCCCATTTCTGGTCCCTCGACACATGGACACAAAAATAACCTTATCCCCAGCAATCAGCCAACAGCTCTTTAGGAAATACAGTGACGAGAGGCAGCTAAAAACCAAAATGCGCCAAAAGAACTTAAAATGTGATGCAGTTCCATCTGCTATGAGGTAGGGGAGAGTTGATTCACGCTCTTTAATTGGGGGAATTAATTGCAGGGAATTGCTATTCCCCGACGGAGCAGTCCCTCTGCAAGAACAGCTCTTGTAAAGGGTAACAACTGAAATAGCGGCAACTTCCACAGATTTAACACATAGTTCTGGGCTTTGCTGAATGAGGTGGACGGCCAGTTCTCTCAGTCATGGCAAAGATTTATTTATTTCATGAATAAAGCCAGGCAGAGCCTGCAGCATCCCCACTGCTGCTGCAAGTGGATGCCCAGGGCAAGGGAGGCAAATTGGACCCATCTCCTTCCTCTCTGATATCTACAAAGTTTAGGAACACCCCGGTCCTGCCCTGCACCAAATACTTGTAGCAAATACAAGAAATCTGCAGAGACAAGGGGAAAACCTCCCCTTCTCCCAGCCACCACCCCAAAGCCTAGCCTGACCTCCTCTGCAGAGAGAGAAACCCATCCGGACAACGACGGTCCTGCCCTGCACCAAATACTTGTAAAAGATACAAGAAATCTGCAGAGACAAGGGGAAAACCTCCCCTTCTCCCAGCCACCACCCCAAAGCCTAGCCTGACCTCCTCTGCAGAGAGAGAAACCCATCCGGACAACGAGAAAAAAAATCACTTTAAACATTTTGGCAACTCTTTTTGAAATGACTGCAATTAATGCAAACGACCATCAACAACAAATACTTCACTGAAAACCGAGAGCGAGACCTGGAATTTAAAATGTCCTAAATTTGCCCATTCTGCTTCCTAGAACAGCTCTGGAAACTCTCTCTCCCTGGCCTGGGAAGCACGTTAATTCAACCTACAATTAATTCTGCTTTTGGGGCTTAAATATCTTTCTGGTCACTGAAAGCAAACGGCCATTTCTCACAGGTGTTTGAGTGTTTCAGTTTAGGGATTTCTTTTGGAAAAGGGAAAAAGCCGGCGCCGCGCGGAGAGACTTACTGAGTTCAGGGAGGGTTTGTCACGGTGGGTGTTCACTGCTTCCACATTCAGGGTGATCGTCTCCACCTTACAACCTTTACCAAAATGAAAGAGAAGTTTGTGTAAGGAAGGGTAATTTATTTAATAAACAATTTTTTTTTTTTTTAAATAAACCGGCTCATAAATAAACAGTTCACTCTAATAACACAATTTTACAGTTAAACTACTTTCTGGCGTTGACCTTCCTGCAGAAGCGCAGCCCTGTGGAACAGGGGCTACAGGTTTACACAGAAATGTCATTTTTAAGTCACTTATTTTTTTTAAATTCCAAGTTTGGAGGCACCAAATGGCGAAATCCACCATCATCACTCCTTCAGGAGAGGCCACAGGGGGAGCACCCCTGCACCCACACACCTCTGCCCCCCCAAGCCCTTCCCACTCTCCACATTAAAAACATTTACAGCAAGTCCAGCTGCTGCCACAGTCACAAACTGGCCACAGATTTGCTAAATTCCAAGTTTGGAGGCACCAAATGGCGAAATCCACCATCATCACTCCTTCAGGAGAGGCCACAGGGGGAGCACCCCTGCACCCACACACCTCTGCCCCCCCAAGCCCTTCCCACTCTCCACATTAAAAACATTTACAGCAAGTCCAGCCGTTCCACACAGACACAAACTGGCCACAGATTTACACACACTCACACAAACCAGGGGGGGAAATAAAGATAATATTTACCGTATGCCACAGGCGTGAGCTTGAGGATGGTGTGGAGGGGGCAGCGCAGGTAGGGCAGCTCATCTAGGACAGAGAGAGGTGTCACAGGGGGGGTTTGGATGTCCCACCCCTCCTCATCCCAAGGTGGGACACAGCAAATATTGGACACCAGCCCCACAAATGCCCAGTGGTCTCCCCAGCACCCTCCCCAGCCCTGCAGGACCCCAGCCCGCCATGGAACGCAAGTGAGTTTTATTTCAAACCTTATTAAAAGTTTTATTAACTTTATTAAAAGTCTTATTAACCTCAGTAAAAGTTTCACTAAACTGCAGTGCCGCTCACTGGAGTTTAATAAAGCAGCTTGTGGCAAACTGGCCCCAGCTCCCAGTCCAGCAGGACACGTTGGGATCAGCCAGTCCTCCCCAGGCCACTGATGCATCACAAAACTTCTATTTTTATTTTTTTTTATATCTATATTAAAAAATAATCCCCTAGAAATGATGTAAGTGCTACTGGTGGAAAAAAACAGCACCCGTGTTTCTCGCCCCGCTGAAATGCAGTGGTTAAAGTGCTTCAGAAATGTTTTCTTTGGGTTTTTATTTTTTTTGCTTTTTTAAGCGGCTCTTCCGTTGCGAAAAACAAATAAAATTAAAAAATCAAACCAGTAATTACAAGCCACCCTCCCAAAAAGCTCTGTGAAGGAAGCAGTGCGAGAAGCCAGCCCCTACCATCCCGCGGTTATTTTTGTACCTGCACTCTTGTCAAGAAAATAAGCCAACAGGCACCTCATAACCGCCTGGTGGGAGATAACGAGGACGTTGCCTTGCCGTTCCAGCTCCATAATTACCGGCTCCAGGCGCTGGACCAAGTCCTGGTAGGACTGAAAAAAAAAAACCAACAAAAAAAACACCAAAACAGGAATTTTTCAAGGGGTTTTGTCAACAGTGGCTGAAAGCAGCAGCAGCAATTAACACAGCTTCGCGTGGGGGAAAATATCAGGTAAAATATGACAGCGCAGAAGTTATGGATGATCTGCTAAATACAGGGGAAAAAAATAAACCAAACAAATGGCAGAAGGTGAAATTTAATGTCAACAACCCTCAGATTACAGGAGGACTCAGATTACTGGTACCTCTTAGCGAGCGCAGTAAGAAAAACAAATAAAATAGTAAATTATACATTTTAACACGGTTGTGAAGTAAAACCAGAGATGACTTCATACCACACCCACAGTTGCTTTCTCTCCAAGAGGGTTTTTCACAGCGACAGGTCAGGCCTCGGTCAAACAGGCAGGATGCTGAAACCCCTCTGTGTTGGAGGGAGCACCCAGGGACTGGGCAAATGGCCCAATTAATATGGTCAAAAGGCATCATTTGCACACACGCACCACAACAACGGAAATCAATAAACCTTTCCTCTAAGAGAGAATTGGGAATCCTAAGGTTTTCAGTTTCTCATAGTAGTATTGGCAGAAAAAGTTAAAATTAAGTAAAGTTCTTCAATTCTACATGTAGGTATTTGTTTTACGTGTACTGTATCTTATTGTTCTTTCTGAAGGGTCTTCACCTCTCCTCCAGGATAGCGATAAAGGTATTTCTCCTGATCCCTCAAGGCAAATTCCTCTGGATACTTGGCTTCAATTTCCGCGTAGGTCATTTCTTCACAAACCCCCTGCGGGAAGAAGAACCCGTCACTCCACGCTCCCTTTCACCAGGGGTACAACCACGCAAAACCAGCAAGGGCCTGGTTGTAACAGCCTTGTAACAGCCTTCCAGTCCCTCAAGGGGCTCCAGGAGAGATGGGGAGGGACTCTGGATCAGGGAGGGGAGCCATAGGATGAGGGGGAAGGGTTTTAAACCAAAAGAGGGAAATGGAGGTGAGATGTGGGGAAGAACTTCTTTGCTGTGAGGGTGGTGAGAGCCTGGCCCAGGTTGCTCAGAGAAGCTGTGGCTGCCCCATCCCTGGAGGGGTTCAAGGGCAGGTTGGAGGGGGCTTGGAGCAACCTGGGCTGGTGGGAGGTGTCCCTGCCCAGGGCAGAGGGGTTGGAACTCAATGATCTTTGAGGTCCCTTCCAACCCAAACCATGATTCTATGATCCTGAACCTCATGATGATGACTGGAGCACATTATACATGGACATGGTCATAAACAAACAGGAAACAAGTTTAAGGTGATAAATTTGTTTCTAAAAATTATTTTCCAGCTAGAAAATCTGAAGGCTTCAATCAGCATCTCACTCACAGCATCGATCTCGTTGAGAATCTTCCACTGCTCGTACGTGACCCCCAGGGACTCGGCCGTCTGGATGGTCCTCTTCAGCTGGCTGGTCCACACCTTCAGATCCACGATTTCCTGCTCCTCGATGAACTTCTTCAGCGCCTGAGAGAACTGGAAGAGAAGCCAGGGGAGGTCAGGAGGGAGCAGGAGCCGTTAAAAGCATCGTTTCAAGGGCTGTGGCTGTCGTGGCAAGATCCAGCTGTGGGGCTGCCCCTCGCCGAGCCCGGCTCTGGCCCCGGGCACACAACACCCACAGAGATGGCAACCCGGCTGCTGCCAAACACATACCTGCTTCCCACGTGGCGACAGACCAGAATCCCCACCAATCTTGCCAACAAGATTATATTCACTCTCACCATGTCGGCAAAGGTAGATGGTGCGCGGCTGGACATGAATGTTCATTAGGTAATAGACGATTTTACTCTGGATGTAATCCTGGACTCTGTTTACTAGGAACCGCTGGCCCACATTGATCACTTTAATGAAGGAAAGATCTCTGGAGTCAACATAAAATAAGAACACCCACACGACTGGTTTTAAAAAAGGAAGCACGTGCACCTGCGGGTGTAATCTAGCTATTTCTCCTCTAGTAAAGGCATCAGCACAACACTGGGTCGCTCCAGCAGACAGGAGAACTGCCGAGCTTAACCACCGAGCTGCATTATGCTAGAGAAAAGTCCTCTCACATCACTTGGGACCCCAAGGAAACCACCTTCACACGAGCAATCGGGCCTTGCAGCATCCCCAGCCAGAGCAGAGCAGCCCCAAAGCAAAGGGGCTCGTGTGGGTAAGGACACAAGGCAACCCCAGGGCTCTGCTTACTTGTCGTACGCGTCGGGATCAAGAGGCTGGTAGGTGACCTTGTAGCACTCGATCCTCTTCAGGAAATCATCCATCACGTTCTCCCGGTTCCTCTCCGGGTAGTCGGGGCTGGAAACTTTCACCTCCTGCTCGACAGACAGCGGCGCTTTGTGAGAGTTAAGCAAACTCCACGCGGAGCAAAAGCAACACTGAATAAGGTTATTCTTCCCTTTCGAAACAAGCCAGCATTGTCTGATGCTGCCCTGGGGGAAAAACCTGCTCCCTCAGAGGAAACAAAGGGGGAGTCTGGAGGCGCAGGAGCCCTTGGCCCTGCGACAGCCACGGCTGGCTCGTGGCTCGCTCCCCCCACCAGCCACCCAGCGAGGAGACCCGCCTCAAGGTCAAACACTCCTTGGTGTCATTCCATTTCCACGTTCTCAACATAACCAACTGCATCCTCAGCTTTTATAATCCTGAGAACGTTTCCCACTGACCCAGCTGCTTGTTTCCAAGATGAAATATAATAGCCACGGCTCCGGCCTGCACTGGTGACCTTGCATTGAGCTCCCCCCCCCGCCTCCTTCCCCAGCAAACGCTGCCAGCTGGGCCTGGAAAACACCACACGCACCAGGATGTTGGCAGCGATGACTTCTGGATCGTCACAGACAGACTCCACAAAAAACACCTACAAAGAAGGCGAGGAGGCACGCTGCAGAGCCAAGAACTCCACCCAGCATCACCCGTCGGGAGCTCCAGCCCCGGGGAGCAGCAGCAGCGCCCCGGGTGCCGCAGTCAGACTCCGCATTAAAGGGCAGAAGCACTACCTTGAAAGCGTTTTCCTTGGCAAAATTTAAAATCAGGTCCCTCCTTTCTCGAGTTGTGTTGGTCGCGTCAAACACCTACCAGAAAATGAGTAGGTAGCAGTGAGTAGGTTTATCTAAAGCTTTTAAACCCACCCCAAAAAACATTTGGGATTATAATCAGGTCCCCAAACGCCCTGAGCAGCACCAAGCTACCCAGATCACAGAATCACAGCATGATTTGGGGTTGGAAGGGACCTCTGGAGATCATCTAGTCCAACCCCCTGCCAAAGCAGGTCCACCCAGAGCAGGTCCCACAGGAACGTGTCCAGGTGGGTTTGAATGTCTCCAGAGACGGAGACTCCACCACCTCCCTGGGCAGCCTCTTCCAGGGCTCTGCCACCCTCACAGGAAAGAAGTTCCTCCTCATGTTTAGATGGAACTTCTAATGTTCAAGTTTGTGCCCATTTCCTCTTGTCCTGTCCTACCTAGATGCAAAACCACGTTTAACCAAGAAAAGCCTTACAGCTATTTGCCCACACTCCTCCAGGAGATAAGTCTTCACGTCTTCTAGGGCCACTAAGGCACATCGTCTGCAGGAGAGAAAGGGGTATCATCAGAGATGATGGAAACACTCAGATGACAAGGCTTCTGACCCATGGGGGAGAGATTTAAACATCTGCCCACGGAGCACCCACCCCATCTTTCCAAGAGAAAGGGATTCCTTGCTCTGCAGGGATCAGAAGGCATCTGTATCTACAACCTACTTCACATACCATCCATCACTGGGTGTTCACAGCCCTGCTCTTTGTGCCAGCCCAAAGCCAAGGGCAGAACCCACAGCACAGCCCCTCCGGCAGGGTCCCTGCAGGGGCTGCTCTGCCTCCTCCCCTCCTCTCCGGGCACTAAATGCTATTTTGAGCTCTTCAAACCCAGAACCTGCCCAGCCCCGAGACTGACCACACCACCACGGGTGGGTTCAGCCCCCCCCGATGTTGACTCACTTGCGGATTTCCATGGCTTCTTTGTTATCGTGCCTGAAGAAGTCGTAGGACTTGTAAGACTTCACCGCTTCCCGGCGATACACTCCTAAATTAAACACTTCACACACACACACAGAGAAGACGGGCATGTGAGACTGAGGGCACTTTGCCAACCTCACCGTGGTTGGCAACCTCACCTCAACCTCAACACGGGCAGAGCCATCCCCATGGCTGAGCCCCCCCACCTCCCCAAACACACCTTTGGTGGGCACCCCGATCCAGTTGAGGTAGCGGGTGAGCTTCTTGGAGACGTAGGTCTTGCCGCGGGCAGGCAGGCCGATCATCACGATCAGCGTCGGGGAGTTGGTCATGTAGGATGCCCATGCTGCAGAGAAACCCAGCGGTGGGGGCATCAGCAGCACTGGAGAGCCCCAGTGCCAGACCCCCATTCCAGGGCATCAGCAGCTCCAGAACCCCATCCCAGGGGCATCAGCAGCTTCAGAGAGCTGGACCCCCATCCCGGGGGCATCAGCAGCTCTGAAGAGCACCAGAAACGGACCCCAATCTTGGGGACATCAGCAGCACCAGAGAGCCCCAGGGCCAGACCTCCATCCCAGGGGCATCAGCAGCTCTGAAGAGCTGGACCCCCATCCCGGGGGCATCAGCAGCTCCGAAAAGCACCAGAAATGGACCCCCATCTTAGGGACATCAGCAGCACCGGAGAGCCCCAGCCCCAGACCCCCATCCTGGGGGCATCAGTAGCTCCAGAGCCCCATCCCTGCACTGGTGACCTTGCATTGAGCTCCCCCCCCCGCCTCCTTCCCCAGCAAACGCTGCCAGCTGGGCCTGGAAAACACCACACGCACCAGGATGTTGGCAGCGATGACTTCTGGATCGTCACAGACAGACTCCACAAAAAACACCTACAAAGAAGGCGAGGAGGCACGCTGCAGAGCCAAGAACTCCACCCAGCATCACCCGTCGGGAGCTCCAGCCCCGGGGAGCAGCAGCAGCGCCCCGGGTGCCGCAGTCAGACTCCGCATTAAAGGGCAGAAGCACTACCTTGAAAGCGTTTTCCTTGGCAAAATTTAAAATCAGGTCCCTCCTTTCTCGAGTTGTGTTGGTCGCGTCAAACACCTACCAGAAAATGAGTAGGTAGCAGTGAGTAGGTTTATCTAAAGCTTTTAAACCCACCCCAAAAAACATTTGGGATTATAATCAGGTCCCCAAACGCCCTGAGCAGCACCAAGCTACCCAGATCACAGAATCACAGCATGATTTGGGGTTGGAAGGGACCTCTGGAGATCATCTAGTCCAACCCCCTGCCAAAGCAGGTCCACCCAGAGCAGGTCCCACAGGAACGTGTCCAGGTGGGTTTGAATGTCTCCAGAGACGGAGACTCCACCACCTCCCTGGGCAGCCTCTTCCAGGGCTCTGCCACCCTCACAGGAAAGAAGTTCCTCCTCATGTTTAGATGGAACTTCTAATGTTCAAGTTTGTGCCCATTTCCTCTTGTCCTGTCCTACCTAGATGCAAAACCACGTTTAACCAAGAAAAGCCTTACAGCTATTTGCCCACACTCCTCCAGGAGATAAGTCTTCACGTCTTCTAGGGCCACTAAGGCACATCGTCTGCAGGAGAGAAAGGGGTATCATCAGAGATGATGGAAACACTCAGATGACAAGGCTTCTGACCCATGGGGGAGAGATTTAAACATCTGCCCACGGAGCACCCACCCCATCTTTCCAAGAGAAAGGGATTCCTTGCTCTGCAGGGATCAGAAGGCATCTGTATCTACAACCTACTTCACATACCATCCATCACTGGGTGTTCACAGCCCTGCTCTTTGTGCCAGCCCAAAGCCAAGGGCAGAACCCACAGCACAGCCCCTCCGGCAGGGTCCCTGCAGGGGCTGCTCTGCCTCCTCCCCTCCTCTCCGGGCACTAAATGCTATTTTGAGCTCTTCAAACCCAGAACCTGCCCAGCCCCGAGACTGACCACACCACCACGGGTGGGTTCAGCCCCCCCCGATGTTGACTCACTTGCGGATTTCCATGGCTTCTTTGTTATCGTGCCTGAAGAAGTCGTAGGACTTGTAAGACTTCACCGCTTCCCGGCGATACACTCCTAAATTAAACACTTCACACACACACACAGAGAAGACGGGCATGTGAGACTGAGGGCACTTTGCCAACCTCACCGTGGTTGGCAACCTCACCTCAACCTCAACACGGGCAGAGCCATCCCCATGGCTGAGCCCCCCCACCTCCCCAAACACACCTTTGGTGGGCACCCCGATCCAGTTGAGGTAGCGGGTGAGCTTCTTGGAGACGTAGGTCTTGCCGCGGGCAGGCAGGCCGATCATCACGATCAGCGTCGGGGAGTTGGTCATGTAGGATGCCCATGCTGCAGAGAAACCCAGCGGTGGGGGCATCAGCAGCACTGGAGAGCCCCAGGGCCAGACCCCCATCCTGGGGCATCAGTAGCTCCAGAACCCCATCCCAGGGGCATCAGCAGCTCCAAAGAGCTGGAACCCCATCCCAGGGCATCGGCAGCTCCAAAGAGCTGGACCCCCATCCCGGGGCATCGGCAGCTCCAAAGAGCCCCAGAAATGGACCCCCATCTTGGGGACATCAGCAGCACCGGAGAGCCCCAGCGCCGGACCTCCATCCTGGGAGCATCAGCAGCTCTGAAGAACTGGACTCTCATCCCGGGGGCATCAGCAGCTCCGAAGAGCACCAGAAATCTGAAGAGCACCAGAAACGGACCCCAATCTTGGGGACATCAGCAGCACCAGAGAGCCCCAGGGCCAGACCTCCATCCCAGGGGCATCAGCAGCTCTGAAGAGCTGGACCCCCATCCCGGGGGCATCAGCAGCTCCGAAAAGCACCAGAAATGGACCCCCATCTTAGGGACATCAGCAGCACCGGAGAGCCCCAGCCCCAGACCCCCATCCTGGGGGCATCAGTAGCTCCAGAGCCCCATCCCGGGGGCATCAGCAGCTCCAAAGAGCTGGACCCCCATCCTGGGGGCATCAGCAGCTCCAGGACCCCATCCCAGGGGCATCAGCAGCTCCAAAGAGCCCCAGAAATGGACCCCCATCCCGTGGGCATCACCAGCACCGGAGAGTGTCAGGGTCAGGAACCGGCCCATCGCCAAGGGCATCCATAACGGGCTCGTTAGCGTGCCCTCCCGGCTAATTAACCGCTGGGAGCGGCGGCTGGACCACTCTGCGGTCTCCCGGGTGCGGGCTAATGAGGCGGATTAGCAACGGCACACCCGCTGCAACTAATGGGGCTAATCTGTGTCTTTTAGCCTTAAAAATATTTACCGATGGGGCAGGAGCCGCCAAGGGCGGCAGAGAGG